AAACATTGGTTTTCACGGTGAAACGCTGTAATTGCTCTATGTAATATTACATAATCGACTTCTTTACCTCACGCATCTTTTATTTGTCCTCCAGGACAGAGAGAGAGAGAGAGAGAGAGAGAGAGATTAATGGACAAAAAGATGAAAAACAGAGAGAACGCAAAAGGATGAATGAGCAGAAAAACAGAGAAAGACGGGTTGATATGGGGTACATGCATGTATCAATATTATCAGCCCATATGAAGGAGATAAAGAACAGCTACTAGTACCTGTGGTCGCACTCCAAAATAGCATCTGTGCACCCTGAGTAGAAAGGATCACGTCAAAACCCAAGGTGCTGTATGTTTCATATTCCATTAAGAGTGCTGTTAATTGCACCGCTTGCACTTTTCCAGGTAAATAAACGCATAAACACTACGTTGATTCTCACACGAGGTGTAGGGACTACATATTTGAAGATTTTTCTCTTACATGATTCAGCTACAGCAGCACATCTGATACATCTGTTCCTTTTCCTCACGAACAAAACTATGAGGATTCTCTACGCAATAAACAATTCCCATGATAGAACACAGATTGCCCAATGTCATTGGCCCTGAAAACATTGGCAACCTTGGCAGAACTGAAACTTTTCCAATTTGGAAATTTCATCAATTTTCTTAAACGCTTATATTAGTAACTATGTCTGTTTAAAATATTGAAGAACAATAACAGGCCTTATAAAATTATTAGGCAATTTCGAACTCGAGCCTCAGATGTGTGACCAAATAATCCTGGGTTTATCTGCTGAGTGGGGAAATTATCTAATTTTACACAGGTATGTTCATGGTGCGGGGCTACCTCTTGTTTTTAATGTTTATGAGTCTTATAACACCCGCTCTGGCGGTCTTCGTAGTCTCTCAAAAACCCTTCTGCAGAACGCCTGTACAGATCGAAGCCTCTTTTGGCAGCCTCACTACTGAGTAGTGATAAGCATCCTAAAAACTCCTTTTCTGATCTGTGCAAATCTTCCTTTCTGTAACATTCTCAAGTATATGGTTAAAACCCCAGCACGTGCGTTTATGCCAGTCAATTGGGCGTGGGCAAATCAGATTAATCATATTGATATTTTAAGTGTTGATTGATATAAACACTTTTCTAATAATAGCTCAAACGGGATTCCTTCTTCAGCTTGAGAGAAAACTCCTGCTGCAGCATCATGGGCATCGCTATGGTCCATACTCATACATGTAGAACATAGTGTAAATTTCTAATTCTATCTACCTTTTTTCCACAAGAACGAAGGTGGCAGAAAAAATTATTTTAATAGCTGAATACATGCACTTTTCGAACACCGTATCCTCGCGGACTAAGGTGCGTTGAAAAAAAATCCCAGTCAATGAAGCAGTTTAGATAAAGAGTAATAATCAGCACATCTGAACACCCAGAGCTTCAGTATCCCAGTGTCAAAACAAAGAAAAGCAAACCCATGCTGTAATCCTGGTAATACAGTACTTCCAGGAAACACGCTGTCGTCCCATGCTATATTGCAGCAGGTGCGTGAAATCCACGTATTTCCGGCAGCTAGACAGTGCGTGTCTGAATAGCCGCGTTGTTCACCGAGGTTATCAGCCTCTGGTTCTAATTTTGTCTCTTAAAGGCAAATTGGTGTGATGATTTATTATAGAAAACTATGCAACTTCGTTTAAACGCAGGTCACACTATTTCAAAACGTACGCTGGTGAGGTATTTGATCACCTGTGCTCTAGTCTAACAATAATTCTTATTTGAGCTGCTAATTGAAGAAGGTATCAATATAAAAAGAAACTCGGTGAATTCTTTATTCACACATAAGTCATGATGCTGATCATTGGTAGCGTAAATCTCAAACAAAGATCATCCAAGATAGCTGATAATACTATATACCGGTACATGTTACACTGTATACCACGCTGTCAGATGTGGGTTGCTTATTTTCAAAACATCCAAATCCGGAAATCTTTACAAATATGAAAGATGTGTTGCTGCGTTCTCAGTCATATCAAAATGGGTCTTTTAGCGTGCTTACATTTCCCTATTAGTGATGAAAATGATTGAAACATATCCAGTATGTTCTGGGTGCATCCCAAGCTAAGCTCATCAGTGTTTTAGTTGGAGAACATTTCCAAGGTGAAATTCTGATAATAATGAATGGACTGAATGTGAAAAGAGGTCCAGACAGCTTCATGTCTGCTTTTTAGGGAAATATGCCATACGGTAGTAGTGTGTGACCTGGTGTAGCCCTTTATTGATAGAAACAAAGAAATATTTCATAAAAATTTGAAGACACGCAGTTACTAAGACGCGGACTAGTTAGCTGTTAATAAACAAACATCATGATGGCATCTTATACTTTCTCAAATGACGATATGGAAAAAGTGAAAAAAAAAATCTCACTCGAGGAGAGTAAAGAAGGGTGAAAGAGATCCCACATAACTACATACCAGATCTTTACACGCAACAAGAATTTTGTGTAAGTTTTCCTTCAGTACAATGCACTATGCTGGTGGATTTATTTACAAATTCATGACTAAATTTGAAATTTTATAAATAAAATATCTTTCGCTAAACCCTAGGATTCAAGATAGCTTAACCTTAATTTTAAAAATAACCACCACACAATAAAATACCTTCATTTCTTATACAGCAGTCTACGAAAATTATCCATTTAGTTTCCAAAGAATGATTCTAAGATCACTAAAACGCATCTAGCCCAGGTGAATCAAATTCTATAGCCTTTTATGGTATGGTCATCATTTCATTCCCTGGAATGAGGTTCGGTACCTGTAGGCAGATATTCGATGGACATAGTTAGAACCTAAAATAAATGAATGTATTCTTTATTGATTTTATATATGACGAGCAATTAATCATAACACCAGCAAGCTTTACTCCTCAGGATCTGTATTAATATAAAAAAGCATCTGCCCCCCGCCCCCCCCATCCCCGCCCCCTATATCAGAGGTCACTGGAAAGTGATCTCTATCATAAGAGGCGTGCTGATAAGAAAGACTAATTTCCAGTATTCCTTGACTTTCCTCCATCCATTCCAAAATATTCTAATACAGGACGATACATTTTATCTTAAGGTATATATTATAATTTAAAGCTCGTAGCTAGGCTTTCAATTAAATTTAGTCCAACAAGTGAAAAGCTGTAATATTAAAATTAACACCATTTAAAAAATTATCTCTTGTGAAATATCAGCTAAACTGAGATTGATCGTCATTATTTCAGATCTTACTTGTCAGTTACTAACTACGCTTTAATAGCTCCACTATACCGTAAATATCATACACTTATTACAGTGTAACATTCTGCAAGGTCAACCAAATATACAAAACCGTACCTTAATGCACCGGGGTCGGTCATGTCAGCACTGAGCGTCTTAAAACAAGAGTGATGTCTGAGAAATTAAACCACGATGAAGGAGAAATAAGGAAAAGAACGAGTTTTCTCAATGACCTATTTTCATGAAACGTCACCATGGTAACGGCTTATGCGTTACCATAGCGCCCGAGTAGCCTAGGAGCTTGCCTTATTGGAGAGGTTTGAACGTCCGAAATAGGTGATCTACTCGTCTGCTACCCAGGTAACTTTGCGCGCGCCGTACCTTGCCCTCCGTGAGCGGCGGTTACCTGTCGGGAATGTAAAGCGTCCAAAGCGTCTGTATTTGGTGAAATTAGTAATTCGGCACCCTGCTAATCCGCTGGTGAAATAGCTACTCTTACCACAGTCATATTTTATTCACTGCTTGAATAGTAAAACCATGATGTAATCTTTACCCGATTCTTCACAACGACTACTATTTCAACCTCTACTGCGTTTAACCCTTGCCGGATGAAGATATAGAATGAATGCTCGTCACTGTCGTTGCATGCACATTTCCCTGGTATTTTTCTGCAATTCAATTCAACATGAAATAAATAAAATGCATTCTTTACATGAATTAAAGCAGAAATAATAGATTCACGACAGAGAATAAAGTTCTGCAGAGTTTTAAGATGCGGAAATATTTTATACTTCTTGCCCATTAAGTCATATCTTTTGAATTTACTGAGCCGCAATTGGAAGTAGCAAAACATCACTAAAAAGTCGGAGTGGAATAGTTTAGAAATAAGGGGGATAGAACCTATGCAGCTTTTATAACATAAAGCTGTCTGCACATTCTAACCCAAGCATATTCTTCCGAAATATTCCAACTGCGAACGCTTGAAAATGTTATCACACTTGAATAAAATTTCAAACGCCAATTCAAAGATGGGTAAATTGACTGGCATTTAGTTACGTAATCATTTTCTGTTATTCTTTCAGGGCATGAGAGAGCATATTTTTAAAATATGATATTTTATTAGGAAAGTCACTACTTCAAAACTCCATTTTCTGGCCGGAGTGTTTGCAAAATCAGACAAAGGTGTATAAACAAAAACAATATGGCTGATGATACAATTTGATTCCCAGTGATCGAATTCACAACTTGCCTAATATCCTCTTCTGATTGTCAGACATCAAGTAATACATAGTACATAAAGGAGAATGAGCAAATAATGACCATTAACAATAGCATGTAAGAATCGTTAAATGAATAAGTTCAATACATATGAATCTCTGGGGATTTCTAATGCTAAGAGGTTAACATTATTCCAATGCCTAAAAGGGTACTCGTACGGAAACACGCTTGTTAAGCCTAAAGCTTGAGCTTAACACTGAGAATGTTGACATAATTACCATGGTAACGAAACCCGCTGCGTTTCCGTCCGTCTCTCCCGGCAAGAAAACGGCCCGTCTTGCAGGACCAGATATGGTTTTGATGAGGTGCGCAAGTGCTCCTGGGTAGAGGGAAGAACCTGGCTGCAGAAAATTAGGACACTCCTCGCCGGCTTAACACAGGGAACTAATGGGGCCTTCCATATTTGGCACACAGGGATCCATATATGGGGCGTAGTTGTACGAATTTGCCAGCTTTTTCCAGGAAGAAGTGAGCCAGCGAGAGTAAAAAGCCGGGTGCCAGAGGAGCAGTACATAAGGGGCGTCCAGTCAGGTAGACGTGAGCACACATCCCGTGAAAAGCACAGCTTCATTTTATTTCTTGATCTTCATCATCAAACACAACAGTCAACATGTGCGACGAAGAAGTTACCGCTTTGGTTGTTGATAATGGCTCCGGCATGTGCAAGGCCGGTTTCGCCGGAGACGATGCCCCCAGGGCTGTGTTCCCCTCAATCGTCGGACGCCCAAGACATCAGGTACGTACACACAGTAGCTGGGATATAGACCTGGGACCCACAGCAGCTTATTCTCATGGATCCTATAAAATAATATGAGATCGAAATAATAGGGAATGACCTGATTCGGTAGACAAAATTGTTTTAAAGTTTGAAAGTTCTTGCAACATGTTTCTCGGTGTTCTGAACATTGAAATTATGCTGTTTCTTCGAAGTAAATTTTTATTGGTATTCATTTGACAGTGAGACAGATTACTAGTGTTGGAAATTGGGCTGAATTGTTGAAGCATTTTGAAACTTCTCTGAAACCGAGTTGTATTAAACAAAGTCTATTGCAAATTTAACAGAACACAGCTTTCAACAATTCAAAATATTTGATTGGGGGGCAACCCTTAGACCTGTGCCTAGTGTGATCTAATCCACGTGCTCGGAGATGGGTCAGTGTATCCCTAAAATGGAATTGTTAGAACTATGGAATCATTTGATTGGCCTGCTACAAATAGTTTACACATATAAGGTAACAGGTGTAGGGGAAATTCCTCTTAACTCAAAACGAGGCAGCAGTAAATTAAAAACAACTTGAGATCGATGACTCAACGAAAGGGTCTTTCTTCAATTCTGTCAGTTAGATATAAACACATCTCATGCGATTATGATGAACTAAAACATTTTGCTTCAGGTTTATTGATTTCTGCGGCCGTTTTTCTAGTAAAAACCTTTCCACCACGCAGATATTTAACTTATTTAATTTATAACTTCTTCAAATGATAACCTAATATGGCCCCGAATTCCTTGGGTCTACAATTTCATCATTTCACCCGTAGCCCCAGCACGTGGCTTCTTTATTTGGCTACATTTACTGAAATGTTATCTGTCAGTACAACAACATACCACGCGCTTGCCCTGCACGTGTGTGGCGGGAAATTAAACCGCAGTGCCTTATGAATTGTTTTGATTAAAATGAAGAAAAAGAAAAAAGGTACCCCTGTTTTGAAATAACTTTTTGTAAGAAATTTAGCACATCGTATATTTGCCCACCAAATCTTTCTGTAGTCCTACTTAGGTACACAACAAAATGTGCACATATGTAAGCCGTAAACACAGGGTACAAAAATAGATTACTTTTGCCAGAGAGATCTGTTTCTTTTAAACTACACCACTTTTATCTTACTCATTATAATGTGTTTTGTAATTGTTTTAGGGTGTCATGGTGGGTATGGGTCAGAAGGACAGCTACGTCGGCGATGAGGCCCAGAGCAAGAGAGGTATCCTCACCCTGAAGTACCCCATTGAACACGGTATCGTCACCAACTGGGACGATATGGAGAAGATCTGGCATCACACCTTCTACAACGAGTTGCGTGTGGCTCCAGAGGAACACCCAGTCCTGTTGACAGAGGCTCCACTGAACCCCAAGGCCAACAGGGAAAAGATGACCCAGATCATGTTTGAGACCTTCAACGCTCCAGCCATGTACGTCGCCATCCAGGCTGTATTGTCCCTGTACGCCTCCGGTCGTACCACGGGTATTGTGCTCGACACTGGTGATGGTGTCACCCACGCCGTCCCCATTTATGAAGGTTACGCCCTCCCCCACGCCATCCTCCGTTTGGACTTGGCTGGCCGTGACCTCACAGATTACCTGATGAAGATCCTCACTGAGCGTGGTTATTCATTCACAACCACAGCTGAGAGAGAAATCGTGCGTGACATTAAGGAGAAGCTGTGCTATGTTGCTCTTGACTTTGAACAGGAGATGGCCACCGCCGCCTCCTCCAGCTCCCTGGAGAAGAGCTACGAGTTGCCTGATGGTCAGGTCATCACCATCGGTAACGAGCGTTTCAGGTGCCCAGAGTCCCTCTTCCAGCCATCCTTCTTGGGTATGGAGTCCGCTGGTATCCATGAGAGCACCTTCAACTCCATCATGAAGTGCGACGTTGACATCAGGAAGGATCTGTACGCCAACACTGTCCTGTCCGGAGGCACCAGCATGTTCCCAGGTATTGCTGACCGTATGCAGAAGGAGATCACCGCTCTCGCCCCAAGCAGCATGAAGATCAAGATCATCGCTCCACCAGAGAGGAAATACTCCGTATGGATCGGTGGCTCCATCTTGGCCTCTCTGTCCACCTTCCAACAGATGTGGATCAGCAAACAGGAATACGACGAGTCCGGCCCAAGCATTGTCCATCGCAAGTGCTTCTAAACTAACTCTGTCTCTAGCTTTTTTAATCAAAATTATCTTTCTTCTTTCTCTGAACTACAGCCCTTTGTGATAATTGGTATGTGCTTCAGTGACTCTCGACGTCGCATCTTTCTCTTCAACATGTGTCTACCTTTTAACGGTAGACTGTGACTTTCTCGGGACAAATGTTAGGTTAGAATCCGCTGGACTGGTGTGTCAAATGTGGACGTAGTATCTAATGTAGATTTCCTTGTCAAAGTGGACTAGATCTGGATAAAAAGGGCAGGTTTTTTTATTTTCAAAAAGGAAATCGGCGTAACAAAAAGTAAGTTAAAGAAATGCGTGCGGTAACCTTAAGGTCAAGAAACACAATAACCAAAAAAACTTTGAGACCACTGCCGTATCTGTGAAGAAAAAACAAGGATCACAAAACTTTTGTACGATGTTGTAAGTGCAATCTCAAGTTTTTAATAAAATGTACACCTATAACTGTTTGTGCTCTCTTTGTTATTTGTTTCATATGGATATCAGTATAATATTGAACACATAACACTATGGTAAAATAATGGTAATGAATAGCGCGAGTCTATCAATTTTATCAAAATTCGTGAAATTGGAAATTCCTTTATACCAATGCAATATGCACGTTTATATAGAACTACATGCGTTTATAATTAACCATATTTTTAACGTTAATGTTATTCTTCAATATTTTCATTCTACACAGCTAATATTGCAAACTACAACAAGAATAAATTTAAGCGCAGGAAAAGACCACAAAAATAGAGTTTACGCGCTAATATAGCAGACAATACTAGAGTGCCGTTAGACNATCTGTTTCTTTTAAACTACACCACTTTTATCTTACTCATTATAATGTGTTTTGTAATTGTTTTAGGGTGTCATGGTGGGTATGGGTCAGAAGGACAGCTACGTCGGCGATGAGGCCCAGAGCAAGAGAGGTATCCTCACCCTGAAGTACCCCATTGAACACGGTATCGTCACCAACTGGGACGATATGGAGAAGATCTGGCATCACACCTTCTACAACGAGTTGCGTGTGGCTCCAGAGGAACACCCAGTCCTGTTGACAGAGGCTCCACTGAACCCCAAGGCCAACAGGGAAAAGATGACCCAGATCATGTTTGAGACCTTCAACGCTCCAGCCATGTACGTCGCCATCCAGGCTGTATTGTCCCTGTACGCCTCCGGTCGTACCACGGGTATTGTGCTCGACACTGGTGATGGTGTCACCCACGCCGTCCCCATTTATGAAGGTTACGCCCTCCCCCACGCCATCCTCCGTTTGGACTTGGCTGGCCGTGACCTCACAGATTACCTGATGAAGATCCTCACTGAGCGTGGTTATTCATTCACAACCACAGCTGAGAGAGAAATCGTGCGTGACATTAAGGAGAAGCTGTGCTATGTTGCTCTTGACTTTGAACAGGAGATGGCCACCGCCGCCTCCTCCAGCTCCCTGGAGAAGAGCTACGAGTTGCCTGATGGTCAGGTCATCACCATCGGTAACGAGCGTTTCAGGTGCCCAGAGTCCCTCTTCCAGCCATCCTTCTTGGGTATGGAGTCCGCTGGTATCCATGAGAGCACCTTCAACTCCATCATGAAGTGCGACGTTGACATCAGGAAGGATCTGTACGCCAACACTGTCCTGTCCGGAGGCACCAGCATGTTCCCAGGTATTGCTGACCGTATGCAGAAGGAGATCACCGCTCTCGCCCCAAGCAGCATGAAGATCAAGATCATCGCTCCACCAGAGAGGAAATACTCCGTATGGATCGGTGGCTCCATCTTGGCCTCTCTGTCCACCTTCCAACAGATGTGGATCAGCAAACAGGAATACGACGAGTCCGGCCCAAGCATTGTCCATCGCAAGTGCTTCTAAACTAACTCTGTCTCTAGCTTTTTTAATCAAAATTATCTTTCTTCTTTCTCTGAACTACAGCCCTTTGTGATAATTGGTATGTGCTTCAGTGACTCTCGACGTCGCATCTTTCTCTTCAACATGTGTCTACCTTTTAACGGTAGACTGTGACTTTCTCGGGACAAATGTTAGGTTAGAATCCGCTGGACTGGTGTGTCAAATGTGGACGTAGTATCTATTGTAGATTTCCTTGTCAAAGTGGACTAGATCTGGATAAAAGGGCAGGTTTTTTTATTTTCAAAAAGGAAATCGGCGTAACAAAAAGTAAGTTAAAGAAATGCGTGCGGTAACCTTAAGGTCAAGAAACACAATAACCAAAAAACTTTGAGACCACTGCCGTATCTGTGAAGAAAAAACAAGGATCACAAAACTTTTGTACGATGTTGTAAGTGCAATCTCAAGTTTTTAATAAAATGTACACCTATAACTGTTTGTGCTCTCTTTGTTATTTGTTTCATATGGATATCAGTATAATATTGAACACATAACACTATGGTAAAATAATGGTTATGAATAGCGCGAGTCTATCAATTTTATCAAAATTCGTGAAATTGGAAATTCCTTTATACCAATGCAATATGCACGTTTACATAGACCAACTTGAGTTTAAAATTAACCATATTTTTAACGTCAATGTTATTCTTCAATATTTTCATTCTACACAGCTAATATTGCAAACTACAACGAGAATAAATTTAAGCGCTGGAAAAGACCACAAAAATAGAGTTTACGCGCTAATATAACAGACAATACTAGAGTGACGTTAGACACTGATACATCGTGAATTCTGGTAACGTTCGCTCTCAGACGATCATTGAAACGTGGCCCTTAAAAGGCCTCTTTATTGAAAAACGATCTCTCACAAGGTGAACAAAATCAAGGTGGGGTTCGGGTATTTTTGGAAATATATACCTCTGAATATTTCACATGCTATCTTTATCTAGAGCCACTTATGGCATCTTTCGTAGCACCTGGTAAATCGATCTGAGGGGCGCCACCGTGCTCGTCCTTACAAGATAAGCTAACAAGCAAACTTTTATGCTGAATGAGCAGATTATCAGATGAATCGACAAGTCGCTTAGTCATGAACGATTAATTACGTAGTTTTGAAATTGATAGCGTTTATGTAGAGCGTCTGAAACATGCACCGAAACATGCACTGTAGCCCACATAACAAACAAATAAGGTTGTTTCTCGTAATGATACCAGCTCTTTTGACTATCTTTTCGTCAAAGATACAAACAGTATTTAAATCAACGATATTAACATTGCTAATTGAGAGGTTATAGGTCCGTTTCCTTTTCAAACCCCTCCACTCGCGCAGCACCCGCGAAGACAATATATAGCAATATCATTAATGGCTGATACTGATACCCAGTGATGTCAATGAAATCTGTAGTTAAGAACAGTTATAGGAATTAATTCTTATTTCTTGCGCGTCCTCACAAAAGATTATAAAACGGGAGTTAATTTTTACTTTGAGACCTTTTTTGGGTTATTTTAACCCAAGATAGCAGTAGCACTCGTACTCGGCTTAAACAGAGCATTGCACCTGCTGCATGGAAATAAATGGCTTAAATTTGAGATTAATAGTTGCTTTATTTTAGCCAACTTTTATGGCTTAATCCTGAATTTAAGAAGATCACAATTCTCGGTCTTAAGTTTGCTTGTGAAACCCGCCCCTGGGTTCAACGCATCCGCTATGAACAAACGCGGCGGAGTTTCCAAAAAAGGTGAGAAGCCGGTGGCGCCCAGGTGTACGTGTGCATGCCAGACCAATCACTTCATCCACCTCGCCTGCTCCTCAAACCGCCAATCTATCACTGCTGAATTCTCAAAATGCTGTAATAAATTCAGACAAACTTGAGATCAGTGCACACGGCGAGACGTTTGCGGGTTGCTTTTGCTCAATGCGACTCATTGTACTTGGATTATAATTTTTAGTTCTTAGTAATGTTGTTATTTTGCGCCTTGGCATTCCCTGTTGTACTATTATAGGGCTAATGGTCGGTACTGGTCATACAGTCCGGTAGTGAGCAATGTATCAATGATCTTCGGGCTCGGGCATAAATTAAGAGAGTCGTTATAAAGCCAACCTTCAGTTTATGAATAATTTCCAACGGGACTCTTATGTCTTGTAAACTTAGCAAAATCTAAGAAGACAAAAGAGTGAAGGATATGAATAACTTAGCCAGACAAAAATGAAAAGCTCTCAAGAGAGACAGGTGAACTTGAAACCATGGACATAATAACGTTATTATGTTCAAGTTGAAACCAACGTCTCATCAACGCCGCGACATCGAACTTTCTTTTAAAAATATGCTGCTTGGTTATTTGCAGTCACTCATTTCCTTTAGTGTTGTTGCAATATATCAAACGGCCAATTATTTGATAAACCCTGCTCAACTGTTCTTTGGCAACGGTAGATGTATGGACGCTTTAATGTGATTGCGATTGCTGTGAAGAAATGCAATGCCAGACTAAACCCTTCACGTGTAATGTGATTCCTTTCACACCCAGTAATCGAAATTGGCCATTGCAAGGTGAGTCGAAAAGGCAATATTTAAATTCCATATTTATACAGCAAATAATCGTGAGAGGACACTTAAAGAATAAAGGACCCCAAACAGAGACCACGCTTTCTATTAAAAGTAACGACCTAGTAAATAATGGAGTCAAAGAGGAACAACAAAAAACCTTTTCAGCACCTCGGTAATAAGTCTGCAATGTTAATTAAGAAAAATACGTCCTTTTGCTTCTAACAACGTAATTTGAGTTGGGGAGATCTGCAGGATTATAGACTTACCAAATTGAAAATGGCATTGAAGTGTGCTGTGTGCCGTGGGGACGGTATCCACGTGTCACGAGTCTAGCGCGAGATGTCAGCGGTTGACGCAGTAATGCATCTTTTTCGGTCTATTATACATGGAGAAAAATGTGAACTCAGGTTTCACTCCCCGAGGGCCTATCTGGTGACGCTGTCTGAGATATGAAGGAGGCCGGGTTGCCATTTTCAAGTGTCTTTACTGCGCACACGTACTGGGCACAGGGAATGTTGAAAAAAAGATAAGTGCAGTCGACGACCGTTTTGTGCTGGTCCCGCTCACGCATTTTAGTGTGTTCGTCACATTGACTTCAAAGCCAGTTACGTCAGTCCTAAAATTTTCAGTTGTTTAAAAATATTTCACTTCTCCTGTTAACATACATGGGCCAAATCGTGCCCTTTTTTTCGTCGAAAACTTATGATCCCATTTGTCAACGGTGATCGAAAAAACGTGAGCGAATTTGTCATTTTCACTCCTTCTAACCGATTGGCCATGTACAAACAATTTTCTGGTCAGCGCCTTCTGGTGATATACATTGAAGTCAAATAGTTTGTTTTATGCGGTGAATGCGGTTCTGTATGACGAATGTGGTGAGGTCTGGTGGCGATAGGAAACCCATTAATTCGATGCGGTCACTGGCGACCGGACTGGGGCCACTGTAAAAACCGTTATAGAAACAAAGGCGAGGTTGTCGCGGACAATAGCTACACGTTGAAGCCGCCAAGGCGTACAGAAAACGGAGATGAGCAACAGACGGCTTTCTATTATTCTTCTGAAGTTGCTGTGTATTCTACACATCGTTCCTTGTTCTTTTGCGAACGGAGGCTTTTACAAGTGCCACCCTAACAAAATTGCAAGCTGCAAACAATGGAGCAACGGGACTTATCTCCCCAACTTGTTCGGTGAGGTGAAACAGGAGGCGATATCGGAGAAGTTGGCTACATTCCTGCCAAAAATCAAGCCACATTGTTCCATGTTGCTGGAGCATTTCGTGTGTTCTATCTACGCCCCGCCGTGCATCGACGGGCTGGAATTTCCCGTTCCTCCATGTAAGAGTTTGTGTATGTTCGCCAAGGCAGGCTGTGAGCCGCTGGTGTCAGCCTTAGACCCGAGTGTGTCCCTTATGATGGAGTGCGACAACTATAGAGATGACACGTTGTGTCTCTCGTCCATGATACAACTAAGACGTAAGTTGGTAAAGAAACATAGTTAAAAAGGGTTTTTTTCTTTAGAACAAAGGCGGAGTAGTTGACAAAATTGTCTGTGTAAAATTCTTTTTATCATCTGTCTTCTTTTGCGTGGCGCGTTAACTCCATTACTCTGTATGAATATGTCAGATTATTTCATAAATTCTTTGTTGGTAGTTACTCATGGCTGGCTGACTGGTAGTATGAATCTAAATAATTGGTGTGTAATAGAGAGAGAGAGAAACTAGCACAGCATTTATTTTGCTTTCTTCGTTAAGATGCATGGCAGAAGGCGGCAGACGGAGTAAACACAAAACCAGAATTTCAAAATATGTCGGCATATCGACTCAAAAGTAAAAAAAAACACCTTTTGCAGACCTGAAGTTGTCCTTAAACTGAATGACAGAGAAAGCGAACCGTGATCTGCGTTTCACGTGGTTCCATTAAGCGTCACTTTTTTTAAATCCTTAAACCCGATAACGCTGTATATCACACAAAAAACACTCTTTATACGCCTTAGAGATATTCTACGCTGCTCCTACTTGTTGATGAAGATATTGGACGAGACAGCTAGTGAGTCACTGAAGGATGTCGTTGTCTCAGGAATCAAATCCCAACCTTAACATTAAATCACTGCTATTAGATGGCCTCGGATAATAATTCAAGTTTAGAATTCAGAGTGACAAGTTGACACGTTATAATGAAGTGCACCGCAATATCACATATCCACACGGCATGTCACGCCACTAAGTTAAGTTCATCATATTTTATAACTTTTGGCTATTTTTTCCGTTTCACATTAATAGAGACATTTAAAGAATAGCATTTTTATTACCAAAGTATTTCGAATCGTTTTTTCTATTTTAAGTCTCAAAACAGAATTACTTAATTAATGATGGTACCATCAGTTCGAAAAGACACCCCCCCCCCCCTCCCAGGTTCATGCAAAGACTTTAATGGATATGTTTTCCGCAAGGTTGAGAATTTCGGTAACCCTAGAAAATAGGGGTAGGATCCTTATTTAAAGTGAATAGGAGGTGGCATGCAAAACATTCAAGTTGAACTTCAACACTGATAATCTTTTAAGGTCAAATTGAGATATCAGTCAGTTTTGTAGTCTGAAAATCTCCTTACTGCTACTATTCATGAACGGTAACTTCATACATGTGCATTTATATTAAAATAGTGAGTGACACTGGGGGTAACCTGAAGTGTCCTATTGATTCATTTAACTATTTTAAAGACGTATATTAGACCCTATTTCATAGGCCAATTCTTAAAACCCCAGTTCTAAGTTTCATGGTTTTAACTCAATTTCGTAATGGAGACAGAGACTGATAGAAATTTAGAGCTGGGAAACGCATTCAAAGATCGTCTTTTTCTCAACGGTTTTGAATGATAAAGGAGAAGTGCCTGAAACTTCCACGGTTTTTATCTATATAGAGGTTTAATATAAGGAGCATCGTGTGTTTGTCAGCCAACATCTCAACCGCCTGGGGCACATGTCTGGTGAGCAGTCAAACTTCTACCGCAAGATTGTAGTGGATGAGAGAATATTAACTAAAGCTGGCGATCACAATGCCTTGCTTGTAGTCCTACTCCCGTATGAAAAATGAAACTGACTGCATTCAACTTTAGACTGCTTGAGTTTAATAAACAATAGTTCACAATGCCGCTCTTTGAGTGCGAGTCAAAAGGGTGCTCGCTCGTTGCGACTGCTGTGACGGAAGCACCCATAACGCATTCATACAGACGCAGCTGACCAGAAGAATAATATTAGCAGAGAGGGGAAGGAGGACGGGTCAAAGAAATGACCAAAAGTTAAGCAAACAGTAAATGTTTTTACCCTTGGAATCCGATCTTGACTTCCAGGTTGGACCCAACTGCCTGCTTTTATTTTCATACACAAAATTTAAACTCGCGGACAGCGTTCTAATCGATGAACGGGGCACAGTCGACACCCTGGGGCGAGTAAACTGAGTTTTAGATCAGATTTCACGCTCTCTGCTGAAAGGTTTCGACTCGTTCTATCAGGTAATTACCTTATTGCACGACCAATGATATGTTTGATGGTCTTCTCTTTCTTTCTTTGACAAGTGAGTAGGCCTATATGCTTATGGTCGGTTAACTCATCTTGACGCCAGGTGCGTGCGTATATTTTTTGAAAGAAATTAAAGATACCCCACAAACTGTCAAGCGCTTGTTTTGTACTGAGACTTGTACATTTAAGGGTATGTCTCCGGCGTTTTCTTCGTCTGACCACCTCAGAAAGTTTCAAAATAGACTCTCATGAAACATCAATGCATTGTCCTGGCGTTTTTTCGCATATTTTTCATACCTACTTGTCGTTCTTCCTACAGAAAATGGAGTTGTTTTAAATGACAACCGATTTAAATTGAACCAATTATGGGCTACATTTTCCTATGAAGCTACTGTTAGAAAAAAAAATTGCTTGTCGTTACCTATGACTGACACGGTGCGAATACATGTAGGGGTTAAGAACAACAGGTTTGATTTCTAGAATTTCAAGAATAACACGTTTCTTCTCTCCTCTCTCTCTCTCTCTCTCTCTCTCTCTCTCTCTCTCTCATCTTTAAAAATCAGATGGTTCTCCTGCAGACAATATCCTGTAAATAAACTTAATGTGAAATACTTGTTTTGCTACAGAGAGGAAGCATACATTATCCCCTTTCGTTCAGTAAATATAAAAACAAGGAGAGTTTTAGTGTAATATGTGTATGAAGGGGACAGGGATGGAAAATTTGCTTGATTTTGTCTCGTGGTGTTTTTTTGAACTCTTTGGAGGGAGATGGGGAAGAAGGGACTACCTCTGTTTGCGAAACCGATGCATAGCCCCCCCCCTTCCCCTCCTCACACACAAACACACACACACACACACACACACACACACACCATTGGCTATATTTGAGTCTCAGTTCAGCATGCATTTGAATATGATGTAAATTATTGATTGCTATTCATTACAGTAGCATATATATCATTCATTATCCTCTCTTCGTACACGTAGATAGGCCAAGCCCAAACAGACGTAAATACATTTTGTTTTTCTTTACTTTCCGGACCCTATAGGACCCCACACTGCACCGAGTCCCCCAGGGTCACTCACTCTAAAACCTATAGACTCTCGGACTCTGTTCATATCATGGGAACCTCATAGAGAGCCGGTGACGGGCTATCATCTCTGGACCAAAGGCAAGAAGGGGAACAAGGACCTCATGTTAGGACCCGAGGCTCGAAACTACACGTTGAAGGGGCTAAGTACGCATTGTCAAAATAATAATAATAATAAACATTACAATAATAATAATTTACATGACAGTGAGGTTTGTTCAACCTGAATTTTAGAGATAATTGGAAAATACGAAGGCGTGCTGACAAGAGAAATAAGTTATCTGCATTCTCTGAAACTCAAGGTGGATTTATGTTACTTTTAAAGTATTTTCTCCTCCCCCGCCTTTCTCCTAAAAAGATTGTTTCTGATAGTTCTGCTTAAGACATTTAAAAAGTTCATATATTTCTTTGAAAGCAAATGTAGCCTAATGTTCCCTTTGTAATTTATGTGTGTTAACTCTCAATCAATTGATTTTTATTTCGTTTGACTTATTTTCTGAAGAATCCTTTGTCAAATATGGATAATCGCTAATGCATCTGTAATTGCAGTTTGCCTCAAATATATTTTTAGAAACGCACCAAGTAACCGGGAATCTTTGGCAATTTGACAAACGCCGTGAGATAGTTTGCTGATAAAATAAATTATGAGGACAAATTCTTCAAAGGTGAATTGCAATTGTTGTAGACATCTAACAAGAGTCTAAAACAAGAAGAAAGTTTCTAGACTTTTATAGATAAGACTTTTTGCTGTTTTTCAGGGCCTAATGCAAAGTATCGAGTGAAGCTGTCTGTTTTTAATGGAGCCGGGGAGAGCGATTTTACTTACAAGAAAATCGTGCTACGTGAGTATTAGTCAACTCCAATGACACCTATCATGCGTGATTAAGTATTGATCTAAGGATATCTGTACACAGGTCGATTTTGCAAAATAAAAAAAAAAATTTGGATCCAAAATTGGTATAAATCTTTTGATCAAAATTTCGGTCCACTTCAGTTGAGGATAGTTACCCTTTATAATCCATTCTAAATATTACTGATTTCTCCTTTGTCATAAAAAAGTTATATTCCATTTTAATAGAATATTTCCGATTTGAATCGGATAAAAGTAGACTTAAATATGGGTTTAAGAGTTGAGACGTTTTTCAGCCTTAAGTTCTTTTGTTAAAGCGACACTGCGGCCTTTTTGCTTTCCTAACATTTCATCTGTAGAAGAAATAGGATGTGAGACAAGGAAAGGCACGTGATAAGGCGAATTTTTCTGGTTTTTCAAGGCGAGAGTTGGATCCAAATTATCCAGATATTGTGCTTGTGCTTTAGGGCAATAAAAATTGGCACACTTTGTTGTCACCCTAGATCACTGCAGACCCACTGGGCAGAAAAAGCTCAGGTATGTTGGCTTGAACCCATCTAAGGGTATGGTGAGGGGGCCAGGATGATATTCCTTCTTTATTCCACTTGCCCTTTACTTATTTCTAAAACTGTTTTTCGCTTTAATTGCCCTCCCAGGTTTATTTGATAAAAAACAAGTGCACAGTTTGCTTACGAGTTCGGAAAGGTTAGTAATACAATTGCAATGTTATTCATTCGTCACTAGAAGTTTCTTGGGAGGAAACCACATTGCATTTGAATTTTTCACTTTTCCAGACATTTCCATAAGCAACCTGTGGGTATTTATCGAAAAAATAACGGGGCTGAGTCATATACTGACCTTTATTCTGGGGCAAACTTCTCACAGACAATATTTTTATAGATGAGGTCCACGACGTGCTATCAATATAACTGGCAATAATAAAACCTGGTGTTCATAGAGTTGGGCATACGTACATCCACCTGGCTCTACTGTGAGCGCTAATGTTGGAATACAAAGGGCAAAACAGTTCACGGACATACACCGTTTGGATTAGCAACACTTCCCAATTGCTCCCATTACCAAAATAATTGGCAGTGCCATCAAAGCAAATATTCTAGAAATTTTCCTAATATCAAAGCAAAACGGAAACTGCATAAAACTGAGTTGAAACAAAAGGAAAAACAGCTATACTAAACAGAAACATTATATGGTAAAATCTTGGTCCCAGAATGAGACAACTATAATATTTGTTTGTTTCTTTCTCATAATGGGAAAGTATTGTGGTGAAATCTTAAAACGGTATATAAAGACTGATCCTTCTTTCTCGTTGCATTAAAAGATATCTTTTTAAAAACAACAGAAAAGCCCTTTTCTCTCATAACAGCACGCGAGAGACATTTAAAAATAAGAATGAAAAAAATTCGAAAATTTACTTATCTGATGCATTTGTTTCGCCCATTATTTTCTTGTGTGGTTACAAAACTGTGAAGTTATTTTGTAGAAGTTTTCTGAATCAGTCTAATTGTGTACCCTTAATCGCAGATGCATTACAATTGTGTTGTAGTTTATTATGTGATTATGTGATTCTTTCTTCATCCAGCATCAATGCGAGTAAAGGTGGCGTGGTTAACCAGCTATTGTAGCTTTTCCTATATTCAGTATCAGTGCCTTACGTAGAAATTCCCTTATGTTTGTCAGTGCGTGCGCGCAAGCGTGTGCAAGAGGATTTTTGCATCGACGAATATGTGTATTCATATACATGTACAGCTATTGCGAATGCAATTATATGCGAAATGTGAAAGGGTGTGTGTCAACAAACATTACTGAGTGCGCATGTCGGGTAACATGTTTGTTGTTGACCATAACAAATAAAAACACGTGGCTTAACAGTTGGTAAAGTGTTGGAAATAGTTCTTTTTTTAGATCCAATTCCTTTAATTTGATAAATATCGGCGGCCCAATGCGTGACTCACCTTCTGTTAGTAAAATCTTGGGAACACTTACACAACTAACAAGTCCAGTTGGTACGTGTTTTTGCACCAGTGCATCGTAAAAGTCATTTGCTGTCGAAAAAAAATTACCCACGGAGAAACTGCTCTGTAACTCAATATTTCAATGGTTTTACAATTGTACTTTGTGCTTGTTGTCTGTCTATGCAGCAACGTGAGATCATCTGCACTGATTTAGGGCGCTATTTATTCAGTAATAATAGCTCAGTAAGATTCTGGCCGGGAGCAAATCGGAACCGCGTGTATCAGAAAGAAGCAGTCGATCTAGAACCCTAGAAGGTATATAAATACGAGCTGCATGGACAAACCCGCGTTCTATTCTTAACCGCTACGTGGTGAGTTTATTTGGCTAGTCTTCTTAAAGAGAAGAGAGCCCGGCTAAAATCAACTTTCGCTTTAAATAAGTAAAAAAAAAAAAACTGAGAAAGATGTCGAAGAAAATATTCTGCTGTGCGGTTCTCTGGTGCGGTTTGACAATAGCTGCAGTGTCGGCTGTCAGCTACCAGTGCGAGGAGACGAAAATCCCAATGTGTATGTCCTACACCAACAAGACTATTGTGCCGAACGTGCTGGGTTACACAAGGCAGGACTATGCGGCTTTAGAGCTCATCTTTTTCGAACCTCTTGTGAAGATGAAATGTTCGCCCTACCTCCACCGCTTTTTGTGCGGCATGTACACACCGATGTGCGACCGTTACGGCCTGGCCGATAAACCGACGCCTCCCTGTCGGAGCATCTGCCGTGCGGCCAAAACCGCGTGCGAGCGAGACATGTACAAGTACGGGATCGTGTGGCCGGAGAACTTTAACTGCGAGAGTCTCCCGGACGATATAGCGGACCCTATTGGTACTCGCTGCGTTGGCAAGCTGGCCCTGATGATCCCTGGGTTGGGGTTAGGTATCATGTCACGCCAGGGGAACGGCAATGTCCAACTAGAAGAAAAAGAGGGTGAGTTTTAACCCCCCCCTCCCCCAGCTTCAGCGGGCCTGAGGTGGTAGCATGTTAAACTGGTATCCTGGTGCTTAAAAATGCGTTGTCAAAACTACAGGTGATGTGACTTGCATCTCCCATCCCAAATTTCGACTGAGTGTACTATCATATTATATCGATGTAAGTCATAGTCTGTTGTTGTTGTTTATTCATTTGTTTGCAAAAAAGGTTATGTTAAAGAAACATTAAGTTAATCTTTAGCGACGTATAGAAAACGTCTGGAAAGGAAAAATAATGTAAAAGAAATCTGAATAAAAAATAATAGTGAAGACCGATTGGGAGATTATAGGCCTATTATTCACCTATCGAGGTCAGGTCTTATTTCTCCCGTGCACCGTTGACAGTGGTTCGGCTAGGGTCTCTGTGGTGACCTATGTTTCTTTTACATTACATCTTAATTGAAATAAAACTATGGTTAATTTGTATGAGAAATAGCCTGGGCCATAGCGTGCTAACCGCAGTGTTTTTGCTTTTAAAAGGTTACACGTGATCGTGCGAATTCACAACAACTCGCTGGAGACATAAGTTAATACCCTGTAAATTTAATCATTAGATTTTAAATCAAAACGTATGTACTCTGGTAAACCTCTAATTTGACGAACAGAAACTTGGCATAGAAAGAGAAAAGGCAGTGAGGTAATGCAAAGTCAGCTGAAACATTTGTGATTCATAAATATTTTGGTTATGTTCGACCTATATTTTACAATTAGTGTTTCGAAAAGCTTATTTTCGATTATTTGATCATAACGATTGAACTACGCAGAAACCAGGTTAGATTTCTGTCACTTAAGACGATGAACATTGATTTTTTACTGGTCACCATTTTAGGAAAGGGTGCACTTTTTTTATCAGAATGCCCAATCAATATTATACATGTAATTTGCTTCATAGGTCTTAGGTGGAAAATATCTCCATTAAGATTTTTCCAGTCGCTTTCAGTATAATCTTACAAAATTTTATAAAGAAACATGGCATAAGTATTTATGCTCTCTTCTAGTAACAGTGAACAGTAGTACTGTTTCTATTTTAAAAGACATTTGACTTTTCAACCAGGGACAGACTTCCGTTCCTATAAACTTGATTATCTGGAATAGTTTAGTATAATCTCTTGCAGACAATTTGCAAACGAGATTGTACACCGGAAGAGTAATGTTACTACAGCGAGTTCCAATATATTCTTTCTGTTAGTGTGCTGTATTTAGAGAAATAAGGCACATGGGCCGTGGAACTACGCAGGATTTCTACTTAACACAGCGAATAACTCATTTATGTAATTTTCTACTTAAAGTGTAAACCTGTGTAAAGTTTTATTTTTGGTAGCATTGCCACTGTGATGCTGCACGACCCTTGTTAGTAAAACTAGTACTTAAAATTAAGTCTTTTAAATAGAAAATTGATGGCACAAAGCTCGAATTCACAAATAGCATCTGTAAGAGATACTCCGGTACATGCACTGCTGTTAGTTACTCCGCAAGATTCACAGTGAATGATACAGAAAAGAAATAAATGTTTTTGGCATATTAACAAAGTCTGTAATTTTAAAGATTATTATCCATTCATTTTAGGTTAGAAAGGACAATTGAAGGATTGATTAAAGAATTGCTTCTAACACTCTAAACACCGAGTGCAACTACCGCCCTGTGAATGTACGTCCCGCGTGTCACAGAGTGCTTTTAATCCAGAACACAGATCAGGCGGTGCGTTAAAAGTGAACAAAAAGACAACTGTAATACGCAAGAAAAAGAAAAGTTTAACTACCTATTGGGTATTTCAATCAGAGAGAAACTTGCTAAGCCTCGCCCCCGCCACAAATCTTGACCAGAAAGTCTTTGTGCTGTGTCCAATCTCTTAGGGTGCTTTCCCAGAGATTTAGATCGATCTAAAGATTAAGTTTTAGATCGACCTAACTCCCTGGGGGTTCAGGCTAAATTGCAGTCAGCCGAGCGGACACCATAGTTAATTACCCCCTTACAGCTTTTAGTAGGCGGGACAGACGCTTAAGCCGGCCAAGCTGACAGTAATCTAGTGAGACTCCCCACAGGGATAGATCGATCTAAAAATCTATGGAAATGGGGTGTTAGGCGAAGGTCCAGTAGTCATACAATCGCCAGAGGTCAGCGTGCAGAAGGAAAACATTTTCCGTAGACAAATAAACTTAGTCTGGTTTCTGATTTTCCTGATATCAAGTCCAGTGACCCATCGTCTAGTCTTGATTAAAAGTTTACCTTTGCAGAGACTTCTTTGCTTTTCACGTGTGAACCACCACGTGTATTTGGCCTCATAGGCTCCATTCAGAATAGGGGATTGACTGTATGGCGACCCACTACAAAGCTTGCTGTCTAATCCGCAAATAGACATGAATAGACATTCCGTGGGGAAGTATTCAAGTGGGTCGGCCATATTTGACCCTGAGACTAGTTAGTCCCCTATTCTGAGTGGGGCCATAGGACCATACTCACACAATTACAGGGTGCTGATGGGACGTGAAATTAAAAAAATTAATTTACATGCCTGGTCGAATGTTTCGCCAACCGAAAATTGGTCTTAGCCGAGGCTTCTCTGATCATAGCCGACTAAGTTGAAAAAAAATTGAAGGCCATCCTACCTCCATTTTCGATGTTTTACTTTCGCCACGAGGGCTAATTTTGACTGTTCTGACATTGATTTTTTACTGACGGTAGTAACAATACTTCAACTAGTACTTCAACTTCATTTTTTGTGCGCCAATTTTTAGCAAAACTCTTACAGAACAATATGGCAAAGCCGAATTAAAACGTAGTCGGCTGTCCACGTCTAGTTAACTATAGTCTCCGCTAAAGCCTGTAAATTCAGATTGTTTAAAACAGTTCCCAGGTAATACTACCCCTTTATCACATGCACTCAGGTGGTAATGCAACTAACGTACTACAACACATCGTCTGCAGCAGCTCGACAAATTTGACACCAGAGACGAGAGAAATCAGTGTAAACCAGCAAAACATTTCCCAACCTATTGTATTGTGATTAGTAATACCCAAGCGATACTAATCTAATAAAAACTTTAATTGTATTGCAGCCAGATTCAGCGCTGGTGTTCACGTCGATAACATGCACCGGTACTCTCTACGCGTGTGTACGTTCTTTGAACAAAGCGTCTGGAACTTTATCCCAGCTGCTGCTAAAAAATTACGAAACATTGCATCAAATCGCGATTGTTTTTAAACATTAGGTAAAATTTGAATTGATTGTCTTCATTTCATACACGGCTGAGTGAACTTGGAGTTGTTCAACAAGGCGTAAGGTCGGCGAGAGTATATAACAACTAATCTGGAGTAAAGATGCTGTAGATCTAGCCCCTTTCTAGAAGTTAATAATAATTTCACAATGTTCTGATGTAGGCCTATGTCTCTCCTAGATGGCTGGGAAAATGGTGTTCTCAATGCAATGTGACTATCTTGCTTACTTCTTTAGGAGAAAGAGAGAAAAAATCAAAATGATAAAAGTAACAGACATTATTTACACCGATATTTAATCTCTTCCCCAGCCGAGAGCGAAAAGAAAGAAGAGCAGACGATAACCAGCCGTGACGACCCCTTGACGGCAACGTCGCAAGGGCACAACCACCTTACTCACGATACACACGATCCCAGACCGCATAATACTCTCGACAAAAAGAACGGCATCTCCCCGCGCCGCTACGATATCAAGGAATATGGAGAACCGTACTACTTTAGTGGCTGGGTGGATGTACAGGGTCAAGGAGCGGCCAACGACTACTGCAGGTATACAGGGGTGAAACTAGTACTTTGATATATGAAAATAGCTAACACTGCTTTAATGATGCACTGATGAAAATATTTCCACATCTTTCTCTGTGATGTGCCCAATGAATTATAACTGCTTATATCATTACCCTTTTTAGTACAAAAAAATTTAAAAAAAAAAAAAAAAAAGAAGAGACTGAAATCAATTAAGAAGCGGCAAAATTGTTACGAAGGGAAAAAGCTACTCTAAAAACCATAAAATGTTCTAGCCATAAAACTTACTCAAAAACATGACAGCGTCGTGTATATATAACGTTACTCTTAGCCTGCCCTCTGATATCATGCCCCCCCCCCCCCCAAATACTTTACAAAGTCACCCTGGTTTTCAACATATTTGTACATGTAACAGACTACTAACACACGCTGTGGTCAGAGAGCACTCTTTGCTTTATAATCATACTAAACAAATATTTCCCGTTAAACAAAAATTATGTCCGACATCGAATTTGGTTTGGGATTAACTTCTCATATAATAAGTGAAAACAAATTAAACTGAACTGCCTTTTTTTTCTTTTTCAGAGTCATCGGGCGTGGCCGCTCCAGCTTTCTGTCATGCGCACTGGCGGGCACCCACAGTGAAAGACATTTCTACGTCTCGGAGAAAGGGTTCAACGTCGGTTGGAGGGATACCTGGTTTATGAGGGACATGGACGACGATGGGAGAGACGATTACTGCAGGTTTAAATATTTTGATATTTTTTATCTTGTTTGGTTTTGATCACAGAAAATGGTTAACAAGTTATATGTACTCCTTCGATTTTTAGTCAAAAACATGCTATACTTTATTGCAATCACTCATACATTGGCGGCATAAGATGGGTTGTTTAAGAGATCCAGGCACGGGGCTCTTTGCCTTCTGGTACTTTGATAATACATATCACAATCAGTTGTCCAAAGCAATTGCGTTTTCGCAGCTAATGCATTCTATTTTTCTTTCAGATGTGTTGGGTCAAAAACCCATTCGAGGGTTTCCTGTATGAAGGCAGGCGACAGAGGTTTCTACGGTAGTATTACTCAGCGAGGCAGTCAATACACCTTTGACGTTCCAGGAACCGATAACTGTCACCGCAAGCGAGTCAATCCCTATTTTGGGTTATAAATTTAGATTTGTAACGCCAGAAACATGTCACAGTCAGGGATAATTTTATTTTTAAATCAAAGGTTCAAAAATTTCTGTTCTCGGCTTCTATACCCAAGTGCTGTGCACTTTTTTAAAAGGCCGTCTCAGGCTCGATTTGTAAATATCAAGAGCTCATATCTTTCAACACACAAGTTGATTCAAATGTAGCTAATTTTGTCGATTGAGATCCGAGGATAACAGGATTGTGAGCCATTGCAGTGACAAACACTGCACACTTCGTGTTGGTAGAAAACGGGCACTTAGGACGTTGGAGGCCTCACGGTTGGTCAGGAAGCAAAGACGAGTTTCCCCTTCAAAGGACCATGGTGCAAGCTTCACCAAAGAACTCTAGACCAAAATTTTGTCTCGACTTTTAGAGTACAAGTTTTGGTCTTTTTCAATGCTAGATAAATGCGAAGTAGTCCACTAGAAGTAACTATTGACCTTAATTATGTGCCGTTTGTCTTTTAAAACCATCTTATATCTTTTTTTCCTTCAAGCTTAAACGAACTTTTGGACTAATTCTTTGGTAAAACAAGCACATCATTTTTTGTACAAGCAAATGTCTGTATGGACACTGTGAAAAGAAATCTGTCCTGTGAAACTCACATTGGATGACAGCTGAGCAAGTGTCAATCAGAAACTTTACAATCTTGACATGGTAGCTATTAGAATATTCAATTTCTATACAAATTGGAAATTTTTGGATATGAATTAAAAGGCATGAAACAGACGTATTTTTAGTTGTGCAATTAATGCAACAATCCAACGATGGGCAAATGAAATTATTGTAGTTGGTCTAAACAGGTCTAATTACTCAGCTCATCATTTTAAAGGATTCCAACCCCAGTGTCTTCAACTCCCCTCACCTCCCGTTCATACCTCATATATTAGTTGTTTTTTTTTTGGATAGAAACAAAATTCTACATTCATGAATTCTAGTGAAGCTCACCAGATATATAATGACAAATAATTCACATAGAAAACTATTTAAATATGAGTATATATAAATGTATATTTGCAACTCAATTCCAAGTATTCACTGTCCATAATGTATCCCACAAACTGCCCAGTAAGATCATCCAAACAAGTCCAGCTTCTTGGAAAAATTGTTGCTTCGGTTATGAAATGATTAAATTCTACACTGTACAAAAATTTACATCTAAGACAACATCGGATGACACCAGAAATTACACATAAAATGACGTCCTCATTCAAGGGTATTATGTTATATAATATACTGCATTCACAATATAAATCCTTTCAGTCAGACAGACTGTTACAGACTGTAATAAAATTATTACACTGGTGAGTCATCAAGTCTTCCTTTCTTTCTGGAAGGCTTTAACTTTCTTCTTGATCTTCAATCTTTGGTGCCAAGTAATAGCGGACATGGCCCATATCAGCAATCTTGTATTCCACCACTGAAATCAGAACAAAAAAACGTCACCAATGTTGACCCCTTTCTCAACATAAAGGCCCTACAAGCGAACTGATTGAAAAATGATCAATTTGGTCAAAAAAATTAATTAACAGTTTAACTGTTCACATTTTTATAAACATTTTAAGCATCTTGCTACAATTTATTTACTTTAGAGTGGAACCTTTAAGAACTCAAATTATTCTTAGCTTTCAACATAAAATTTGGTCTATTTTGACAGATTTATCAGTTACACTTCATTAAAAAGAAATATTGTGTGTGCTGTATAAGGACGGGTACCCACTGCCCAGCCCATAGATCTGCCATTTCAAATCAACTTACCTAATGGAATCTCTGGAGACATTGACAGGGTCACTTGATTGGAAAGAGGCGTGGCCTTTGTGAAAAAGTTCAGGTAACGAAGAGCAAAGGTCAAGGTAACTGGCTCCTGCATCTCAATTGTCACAGCTTCCTCTTCCTTGTCAACATTGGAATTCTGCACCAATTTTATGTTACCTTCAAATAAAAATGGATTTTTTAACATCTCCAGTCATACAGACCAAGATGGTAAAATGTACATTTCTCACAAAAAAATAATAATAATAATGAAATTCATCAATTATGTATTTGGTAATACTTATCTTTAACTAAGAACAAGTTTTAGTTATACCTCACCCAAATGACAAACTAACACAGAACAAAAACATCTATTGTTACAGGATGAAAACAAAAGCTCAGGTGGAACATGGTAAAAAATTACCATGACTATGTAATAAATTCCATGCTCATGACTTAGCATCTTGTGATGCTAAATTTACTAACCTCGATCTGCAAAATATTATGAAATTATAATTTTCATTGCTGTGTGTATATTCATATTACCTGTGCCCATATCTCCTGACGCTGAGAATCTCACTCCTTCCTTGGTGCAGCAGATCACTACAGACTCGCTGATTTGGCTGAGGTCGCGGCATATACGCTGGAATTCTGCCGAGGGGAGCTTGATCACACAACTGTAGTCTGTTTCCTAGAACCAATTTTCCTCAATTAGTCCAACAGATACAATTCATAGAGAAGTACAATACACCAAGAAATGCACAAAACATTTCTGCATCAAGTAATATTAAATTTCATTAAACTTGTCATATTTTAAGAGTGTAAGTTAATCTCAAAAGCACCTAAACATTTGGAAAATGGGCTACTGAACAAAATAAAGTTTACTTACTGGAATTCCCAGGTGGTCTCCATCCAAGTCTACCAGTTTCATTTCATAGTCAGACACTTTGTCTTGGTCTGGAACAGAAAAGTACATCATTTGATTGCCCAGGCCTTCCCATCAAATTGACATTTGAAATGCCGTGGAATTTCAATCTGTCTAAGTTCAATGTTTTTCAAATTGTTGATATATTAACTAAAATATGCATCAAAGTATTAAAGCAAATATATCTATCCAACATGGAGAGATGAATGGACAGTTCAAAGAAAGAAAGAAAAGTGAGCCAGTTTGAAAAACCATGCCTACTACATTTGTAACAACATACTTGGGGATTCAAACATGTATGTGACTGTGTCTGGATTGTCAACAGCTTTGATGGTGACTACATCGTCATTGCCTGCACACTTGAGAATCTTGGCCATGCTAAAAAAGTAAGAATTCAAAACGTCTGAGATTATTTTTAAATATATATTGACAAATAAATTGTGCATTTCTCTTTTTCTTTCTTCTTTTTACACCAGCTGACTATATGTTTTGAGTATTTTTACTGGATAGACTATGCATTGCAAAACACAATGGCCTCTCTATCAAGCAGCCATTATCTGAACTTTGTATTTAGGGCATGTTGATACATATGTTTCACTGCTGACATCAGAAATAAAGGCATTTAATGTTCACTCTTCAATAAAGTTGCTAATAAAATAACAGGCTTATTTAGCAAAATCAAAACTCAACATTAACTGATGATGGACTTGGCAGAAACGCAGAAAAATTATTTACTAGTACATTGATCTTCATAAGCCAAATAAAATGTCTAGCAGTTAACTGAAATATACAGGGAACCCTGTCACTGTTATATGATATAAACTTTTAATATTTAAGCAGTCTTTCAAGTTTCACATTATTCATGAAATTTCACTTCAAAGGGAAAAGAACAAAGAACTGTATATGTGCATTTGCAAATGATGTCTAATTCTGGTACTAGAAATCAGAAAATGCAGGAATCCTATGATTTTTAACTTTGGTTAAGTTGGACAAATGTACACTTTAGGAGGTATCTGATACTTCCTAGTTATTTCAAACCCCGCCAATAATGTTGTTTACACAAATGTCAAACAATCAGTCTCGAATTAAGGAATTCACAGTACCTTGCTAGGTTGATTCCCAGTGACATATTCCTGTCACATCTGAAAGTGTCGAACCCTTCACTCCTGAGGAGTAAAGACACAAGACTAACGTGAGAACTGTCCATAGCTTGTAGGCTAATGCCATTATCGCTGCATTCAAAGGAGCCATCAGTCAACAAATCTTTGACTGCCTCCAAAACCTTCTTCAGCAAAGAACCTTGTACTAATCTTGCCTCAAACATCTTGTTCTGTTGATATCACTAACAAATAAAAACCTTTATAAGATAATCGGAGTTTCGCAAACTGCTTTAAGTCGAAAATCTTAATTTAACGTCTTGCAGTATCTCGAGATGGCTCCGATGACAAAGGTGCTCTAAAATTCCGCGGGAGACGGCTTCTTCGCGCCAAATCACTTAAAATGGCGGGAACTATTTATAGCCTTTGTTTTGATTGGTTTGATTGGACAAGTTCTGACTTGCCTTGGAGTTCCCGGAAGTCTCGCGAACGCAAGTAACAAATCTCGCGATAACCAACATGGTGGTAAGGTGGACAAAATAATATCAACAAAAAGTATTTTCTTCCACGATCTTGTCTACATCAATGACAGATTAGAATTAGCACTCTCTGGTAAGAACAACTCAGCTGTTAGATGGAAGAAGTGAAATTAATGTTATTGAAGTCCTAACATTTATTGAGAACATTAAAGCATTATTACTGCTGCATGCGCAGCAGGTAGTGGGCAGTCCAGTGTCTAAACATTCGACTTTCTCTCATTTCATAATATGGCAAAGTATAGTCAACTCTTACGCGTCATAAACTAAATAAATGCATTTTCCACTATCCAGTTTAATACAGTTATAACATTATATATTTTGTATACCTCTCTTGTGAGGGGCTAGCGCATGCTACTCAACTCGTGTTATCCCCATACGGTACATGAGTTTACAGATTTACTTCGAATTTGACTAAACAGATAAAATATTTAAACTACTATTTAAACTACAACTTTTTTCTTTTATGGCTAAAATCGAGTGTTATATAAATATCTTTTACTGTATGTTTATTAGGCAATAACAAGCACTGTGCATTATTTTGTTTAGCACAGTACAGGTAATTATTGTTATAATTAAATAGCTCAAGACAAACCGAGGGAACTACACGTACCTTCAAGAAAGTATATGTGGGTATACATCATTGATGTAATTAATTAGTCTATGAAAATGAATATTCATTGCTTTAACATTATTTTATTTGTGATTTAGGTGAAAAACAACCATGTTATTCCTCCGCACTTCTTCGGCAGCCATTGTGCTCTGCAGAGTCTCCAGGACCTGTGTGCTACTGCCTAATGCCAGACGCCTCAGTTCAAAAGAGACACAGCAGGCTATCGCTAAGGAACTGGCTGCCATGGAGAAAAGGGCATCACTACAGGCAAGCAACTCTTTGAAAAGGAAACGCAAACCTACCGATCCAAAGGTCTTGTATTCAAACTTTGGACACCAAAGACCAAGAGATAGCAAGACACAGATTATATGTCTTTTTTCTTTAGGATGTGCAGTTATATATTATATGTTTTTCAATGGGTGAGTTGTTATTCTTGTTTATTATTATCATTATTATTATAGCAGTTGAATGTAGCCTTGCCCAGGATAAAATAGGAAAAATTTAAGATTTTTTTCTAGTAAGTATTCTAAATTTACAAGTATAATTTTAGCACTATTTGTTGCACGTCCACTTTGATGGTCCTGCATATATTGATGCATTGGAATATGTTTTCATTTAAGACCTGACGAGGTAAAGGATTGGGTTGACTCCAAGACATCAAGTAAGGCTAAAGAGGTGGAGGGAGAACAACCACAGGTGGTCGAACAGCCTGAGGGAGAGGAGGAGGAGGGAGATAAGAAGAAAAAGAAAAAGAAAGTTGGATTTAGAGACCGAAAAGTGATTATTATCTTTGACAATTTGTCCTCTGTGTGAATGTTTGTATTTCATGTATTCACTAAGGAGAAAAATATATTGAGATGAAATCTGAAATACTTATGATCTGTTGGATTTGTCTTTTTTTTTTTTTTTTCGTGTTTAACCACCCACCCACCCATCTCTTCTCCTCTTATACTCTGTACATGATGAAAACTAAATTTGATCATATTGATTCAGTGCACCCCTTAGATCACTTCACAATTCACAATTAAAACATACCCTTATTTCATTTCAATGATTTATTAATCTTTCAGATCATTGCCTATGAGGACCGCATACGAGCCTATTCTACCCCAGATAAGATATTCCGCTACTTTGCCACCTTGCAGGAGCAGGATTCAGGGGAAATCTATATGACTCCTGAAGATTTTGTGAGATCTCTTACTCCAGGAATGAAACAGCCAGAAGGTAAAAAATATGGGGTGGATAAATAATGCACCAAATTCTCATGTTTTGTTTCTTCAAAACAATCCATTATAGCTCAACAAAATGAATAGGATTAGAATACCTTATTGATATGATATTCTTAAACTATTAATAAAATTAATAAATGATATATGTTTGTCCTATATGTAAAACAGGAAGAAATTATTTCTTTAATTGGACATATTGTGGGATTTTCCAATATTAATACTTGTAAAACATGAGTCTTTGGTTTTAACATGAGTTATGAATACTGGTTGGGATAAAGGTGTATAACTATGAGTGAATGTTTGGATTTTATTTTACAGGGCTTGGGCTTGATCAGTTTAAAAAGTTTGATATTAAGGTAAGTTGGCTGTTAAAAGCTTTGAAATTGCTGCAATATGTATGGTGACTAAGATGATTAAAGACCTACATGTGTATCGGTAAATTCAAGAACTTGTGCTCATAAACCATTTAATAATGTTTGTTTTTTTGTGTCACGGGAGTACTTGTTCAAGTTTGAACGATAGATAATTAAAGCAGGTATTATGATTGTAGCAGCGTATATTTTATTTCATAATGGAGATTGAGAACAAAATTAAAATCTTTATTTAAAGGAATATGAACACCTTTATTTGGTGAGTGAATTGAATTGTTTTCGTTTCCATGTTTTCTTCCTTGAAATGTTCTTCAGGAGCACCTTTTTATATATTTCACTGTTTATTTATTTTTTGGAAAATATTTTTAAAACAAGACTTCAGACCTGTGAATGAAGGTTCCCTCCCCCACCTTGATAACAGAGGTTGTTTTTTGACTATTTTAATAATGAAATAAGTATAAGGGAATTTGAACTGAAACCCAATACAAGAGCTAGGTTTGAATACTACCAAGAATCCTGATATAAGGCATGTCTGTTTTGAAAAGGTATAATAACTTTCTGCTATGGTTGATATCTTTTTGTGCAATATAGTCTCCCGTTTCTACCCTACCGTCCTACGTCATGGTTATGTAAATACTTGAAAAATCCACAGTAACTTTGCACCTGTACTTTAAACCTGTATTCCATGTGTTTCATTTTACATTCCTGGTTGTGATTTTAATTGTTATAACTCCTGAAACTTGTTGTAAGTTCACTGTTGCTATTTTAGTAAATAGTTAACACATTCTCATTAAATTTATTTTGTATTTTCTTTTCATCTCATTGATTTACAGTTCATTTTTATGTCGTTGAATTACAGTTAATTTAAAGCTTATTTTGTAAAGGTGTACCTGACCCTTTTGGCTTACAGTTTAACTGGTTAACATTACAAGTAGACTTAAAGTGAATTCCTTTGTGTGTGTGCTTACGTGGGTGCGTGCTTACATGTGTGTGTTTGTGTACAACATGACAAAAGCAGAGTTTGTTAAATGAAAGAGCTGGAATGTAAATTATCTGGGTTCAGACTGCATGTCTCAGATTTTGACAAGTGAAGTTGTCACTCAGTTGACAGGAACTGAGTGACTGTTCAGGAGGGAAGCTCTCAAATGAGATATATTTTTGTTTTTGTTCGTTTCAGAAGGACAGTGTTGCGCGTAATGTATCCCAAGACAGTGTGTTTAATGCACTCGGGGAACATGCCCTTGTAGCATTTAACGACTATATTTTTCTCCTAACTTTATTGTCCGGTAAGCTTGTTAGGAGGTCACCCTCATTGTTTGTGCTTTGTATGATACAATCCATGTTTTTTATTCTTTCAATATTAAAATTAAATAAAGAAATCAAAATTGTGTAGTACATGTATTAAAATTAGTGAAAAATGTCATTAGACGTTGTAAAGTTAGTTTCCTGTGTTAAAGCCATAGAATGGTAGACTTTGCTTTGTACTCATAGCCTATTATTCTCTCTCTTTTTCTCATTACATATGATAGTAATTGGAAATTGTAGCAGTTGTTTTAGCAAAATCTCTCATTAAATATATCTCATCTATGGAATTTTGAGTTGGAAATGTAGTCTCAGTAACCAATTACGCTAGAACTCCGTAAAAGTAACTGTTGTGTATCACTTAAATAACTCAACCTTGCAGCTCCACAAAAGCAGTTTGAACTGGCCTTTAAAATGTTTGATCTGAATGGAGATGGAGAGTTGGATTTTGGAGAGTTTGAAAAGGTACCTATTTCTTGAATGCTCTTGATTTGGATAGATTATTGATGTAATACTTAATTTCCAGTTTTGTGTAATGTCACCCACTTTTATGCAGTGCAGTAATCATTTGTGGCCGGGTAGTTTTTAAAATGTATCAAACATAAGTTCTTTAAAATTCAAATTAAAAAAAAAAATTGAAGCCTTACATGTGATTTGACACACAAATAACATCCCCAGGTTCAGGGTGTGATCCGTGCTCAGACCAGTGTGGGTCAGAGACACCGCGATACAGGAGACAGTGTGATAAAGCACACCAACACAGCTCTGGCTTGTTATTTCTTTGGACCCAAATGTGACGGCAAACTGACCGTTGAGGAGTTCCTCAAGTTCCAGGGCAAGCTGCAAATGGAGGTCATGAGACTGGAGGTAGGTGTGGAATTCTTCTGAAGTTGGTGTTAACAGTTCTGAACAAAGGTGTATGTAGATTATTAGACATCCTGTTAAGGTTATATATACATTTTTTTTCTTATTTTGAATCTATTTTTGCACTTACAATATTTGTCAGTCTTGGGTTACATCTTTACTCTGGTGGATCTTAGTCACCATCTCTGATGGGGAACGTCAGCATTTTTGTGATGATTTATTTAAAGGAATTTTAAGGCCAGGAATACAATTTTAACAGCAAACAAAATAATTTGTATATAACATAAGAAAACACTTTTGCAAGCTGTTTCTATTTTATTGTCCATTTTTGAATCAGTTAATCCACTATCTTTAATTTTATAGAATACAGAATACAGAAAATTAATCTGGAGTTGTGAAAATATGACATCATGATGTGATAGAGGTGTACTTATCACCATTTGGTTGGTTGATTGATTTTATCACAATCTCATCTAATCAAATATTTTTTAGTTTGAAAAATGTGAACCAGAAGATGGAAAGATAACAGAAAGAGATTTTGCAATGAGTCTCATCATGTATGCAGGCATGTCAGATGTCAGAAGGACCAAGATGCTGAAGAGGATAAAGAAGAAATTCAAAGGAGAGGCTTCACAGGTGTGTGTTACACAGTAACACTTTTGACATATTAATAAATTAATACCCATCTCTGCACCATTTTATTTATGTATTATAGTATATTATTTAGTATAATAAATCTAATTTATTAGAAAGACCAATTTAAGTCCAATTCTATAATAAGTAGGGCAAAGTTAGCCCAAATTTGGACTGAAATTGCAGTTGGGCCATTTTCAGTAGCACTTGTATCAGCTGACTTAAGCTTGGTTCAAAATGTGGTATGTACTGAGAACATGGGATAACATAAGTGCTTGTATTTACAGTGTTTCATGGTCTGAAATGTATCCATGTAAACAATCTGTTTGGTTCCAGGGCATCACCTTTGAGGACTATGTAAAGTTCTATCACTTCTTGAAGAACATTGGAGATGTGGATACTGCTTTGACCTTCTACCATATAGCAGGGGCCTCTATTGATCAAGGTAGGGGAGTATTTACATTAATATTTCATTAAGTTCATTGGACAACAACAACAACAAGGGTAATAATTATATTTATGATAATAATATTTATATTTATTAATTCATTATAAAAAAGGAGATATACAGCTTTTTTAAATATTAGCTGCTGCTTGGAGAGAAATTACTCCTTCATTCTTAGTGCATAACATATCTGATGGATTTCATTAATTTTATTTTTTAATTATCTTGTGGTTAGTTCACTGTGGGGACTATGTCTAATCTCTCCTTGTCCTCCCCCATGCCATACTTGTATGTCATTAAATGAGTTCTCTTTGGTGAGCTCAGTGTCATTTACACCAACTAATTTGGCCAGTTACACCAAAAATCTTTTAGCTTAAAATTGGTCTTAACATTCAGACTAAATTAATTTGTCTATATCAAAATAACTGTGCAGTGGTCCACTTAAATAGAATAACTCTTGGTCTAAAACAATAGCCATGTTTTCTTGTTATAAAACAGGTATATTTTTGTAATTTCATACATTTGGCCTACTGCTGATGTAACTTGAGTCAAAGTAGACTAAAATTTTGATCTTAAAGTTTTGACCACCAACTTTCAGTCAAAAGTTCTTTTTTGAAACTGTCTCTGGAGCCTTAATAATTGGATTGTTGTGAATCTATTTCAGAAACATTAAAGCATGTAGCAAAGACAGTGGCTGGAGTTGACCTAGGTGACCACATAGTAGAAACAGTCTTCACACTCTTTGATGAGAATGGTATGTTTTGGCAGTTTGTGAATATACCTATGACAATTGATAAACTGGCTATAGCATTTGTGCCACCAGACCCTGTCATTTAGTTAATAGATTAATCATATTTAACTGTATGTATCGTTCTAGGCAAATGTAATACAAAAGCAACAGATTTGTCCATGAATGCTTTAAAATATATGTTTGGGGAGGGGGAGTATTTATTCATCTTTTTATATAGGATTTTTGTGCAAGAAACTTAAGGGAGATTTTTAGAGAACAAATATCACGGTATGATGAAATGTATGACAGAAATTCAAGGGAGCAATAATGATGATATAGTGACCATAGACCAGTTTCACAAAACCATTTCAGATTGAAATTTTGCCAGAACTAAAGACCAACATTTTAATTCTTTAACCCAACATAAAAATGAAATATTGCATTTCTTTCATAAAACATATGATGTGCTTACTATTTTACACTGTTAGTGACTGGTTTATTAGACAACTACAGATTTATTTCCCTGAGTTGAAGTAAAACAATAGTTTCAGTCTAAAGTTACAACCAACTTTCACTTTTAACTTATTTTATTTGTAAAACCCACTTGCATATTGTTTTCTTCAGAGGATGGTGAACTAAGCAACAAGGAGTTTGTGTCTGTGATGAAGCAGCGGATGATGAGAGGGCTGGAGAAACCAAAGGACACTGGGTTCTTCAAGCTGCTGAATGCAGTGTACAAATGTGCCAAACACCAGTCCACGCACATATTTGAGTGAAACTGTGGTCATCAACAACATTAGTGGCTGATTAATTAAGGCTACATGCTCTATATCTACAATTATTGGAGTTAAGATCTCACTCCCCACAAAAAGAAAAAAAATGAAGAGAATTGCTGGCAAGTTAAACTGCAAGGTGTTTTCTGCTAAGTGTTTTGCCATATCTAACATCAGTGGCTGGAGATCTTTGACTACTATCTCTCTCTCTCTTTATATATATATATATATATATATACCATTTGCAGATCCCCCCTCCCCCTTCAAAAAAGGGAGGACCGACTAGTTCCACTGCTAGATATGTTTGCCATATTGAGGTAATATAAATATATCTAGTTACAATGTCAAGATTCCCAAAGTAGCTATGTTAATGGTGAAGTAAGCTCATGAATAAGTGAGTGCCTTACACAGCAGTTTTACTTATTCTATGAAGTTGATATAAATAAGACCAGAACAAATAGTGCAACAGAAATGTTCATGGTGTTCATCTGCAGGTCGCCTAGAAAGACCTTCAAATATTTTACATTGAAGTTAGGATAATATTCTGATACAGATATTTCTTTTAACAAATTGTTGTAATTTCTAATCAATATTTTCCAATATTCAGTTGTTATTGATCATTTGCTCCAACTTTTTTATACAGTAGTAACAGTGTTGTCATTTCTTTGCAATTGCAAAACTTCAAAGTGATGGATTTTAAGGTTTTTCTAAACTATAAAATTTTGTGGCCAGTTTTTCATATTTTCAATGCTTATTTTATAAAGCAAGAAATCCAAAGGTCATGACATCTTTATTTTCTGCAGGTTTTGTGATTTGCTATACACTGGAATTTTACTTATTTTTAGTAATTTATTTGTGAAAATTTCATGGACTACACATTTTTTTGAGTTTCAAGAGTAAAAGTTCTTGGATGAATGAGTCTTAAACTTAATTAAGTAAACCTGATGTCATATTAAATGCATGGTTTGGTAATAATAATAATAGCTTTAAAAAAACCTACTTTATATGCGAACAAGTTTTTTTTTAAATTTATTTTTCTTTGAAATTAAAATATTTGTGTCCCACATGTATTTTCATTTTTGACTTCATGTCATGTGGTCTTGTCACAAGAATTGTACTCAAAATTCTCTTTGGGGTTGTTATATGTAGAATAGATTTGTCTTTGACTTTCAGAACATTTACTATATTGTCTATTATTGTAGGGTTACTTGTTTAAAGGTACATTTGAACCAAGTGATGATGGGGCATGTATTCCCAGTAACGCATATAAACCACTTTACTGTTTTCTTATACAACTCAACTCAACAATAAAGTCAACTGGCCAAGGGATAAACTGAATCACTCACTCAGCCATAAAAGACCTTTTAAACTGCACCTACTTCAAATTTTTGGTTATAATTTTGACTACTTATCTGACCTACTATTCTGCCTGTTTTTATATAGCACAGGCAGCTAGCAGAAGAAAAATTTTAGATATCATTTTTTCAGGTAATATGAAATGATGTCTTTTTGTAAATCTCTAAGTTACACTATCTGAAACTATATGATAGCATTTGATTTGCTTCTGTGGCAAAAATAGACTAGATGCATCTTTAGAAGAACTTCTAGGTTCTCAATCTGTCTTAAATTTGTTGTACGCAAACAAAAATGGAAATCAATGTTTATTAATCATATTTTCTCATGACAGATTATCATGTGTAACTTGATATTACAGATTAATGTTGGCATTGTTAAATATTTAGAAAGCTTCTTTGGGAAGTAGTGGATCCCATGATACAAATGCAGGTGTTAAATGTTTAGTGAATTGTTAAAATATGTTTACAGCAAAGTGGTAAATTGCATCAAGAATTCATTATTAATGACTTTGATGATCTGCAAAGTTGCCATGTGAACAGCCAGTGGTATATTGGGTCACTGTATACATGTAGATATAAGTTAAAATATTTATTTTCCCAGTTTGTGTGGATTTAGTTTAAGTCATACAAATTATATCAGTGCATGTTTGCAATATGAAATGCAATACATTGTTGTTTAAAAGAGACATCCTTGCTTTATTTCATTTTTTATCTTATCACTTTTCTGCTATTTATGACCAATTCATAAGACACCTCCATAGAATAAATAAACAAAGTCCAATATCCTGTATTTATATTAATAAGACAATATGATAAAAAGGTCCACTTTATTAAAAACCAAAAGTCAAGATACTTTCTACAACATATTGTCTCTTTTATAGAATTTATTCTTGATAAAATATATCTGAACTATTCGTAAATAATTAATAAATCTCAGTTATGCTGGTACATCCAGGCTTTGAAAATGGGGAGGGGGGGACCTCTGCATGCAAAAGATAATAAAAAATGATAAAATCCCAGGAAGCCCTTTCTCTCTCTCTTCAGCCTTTGAGGAAATCATTTCTTGTATATACAATTATAATTAATCAACCTCTTTGAAATCAGCACAGTACAAGTTCATAGTATGACATTTTTATAAAATGGCAAATTTTCATAGTAGCTAATATTGATTTTCTGTGGTCTGTACCGATGTTCCCTGGCAAGGTTAAATATGTACTCTTCCATGCAGTCAAAAGCCACATATTCATAATCCAGTTCAAATTTATTTGCAAAGAATTCTTTACGAGATATCAGATGTCTGAGATCGGAGAGTCCATAGACACATATGCTCCTTTGCCAGTATCCCCCACAGCGCCAACTGTCCCTCTCATACCGCCATAGTTTGTAGCGGGCCAGGAAAGGGTAAATTTTAGGATTCGTCTCAGGTTCACCTAAAATTTGAAAAAAAAAAGCAAACATAAAAATAAGTCTGTAAAGTGTATTCAGGATACATATACATCTAAAATCTTCTTTTTACAGAAACTGTCAATCCGGAAACAGAATATTAAAAATGTGTTTAAATCCTAATAGTTCTAAACACCCCACAAATAAAATTTGTTTAATGTACCCCTTTTTTGGGTGGGGGAGACTGTTTCAAAGGTTGTATCAGAACAGTATGGATAATATAGAGAACCCAAGTTGGACTGAGAACAGAGATATTCACTACAATAAGATATAAATTCACTGATGAACCGTCTAGGCCAACATTAAAAGCAAACAAGTACACCTTTTCATAGCAATTTTGAGATACAGTGAAAAGCACAGTTTACTTATAACATGTAATTCTTAAATGAAGTGCACACATTTTTTGATAAAAATTGAATTTGATAAAAAAAAAGAAAGAAAAAACTATCAATTTTTAAAAGAACTACATGTACAAAATCCTGATTACTTATATGCCTCCCAATCCAGTCTCACCTAGATAAGATCCTGGGACCTTGAGATGAGGATTGTGATTCATTGTGGAGAAAAAAGTCTCATCCGGGTACCCAGTGTCTTTCACCCACTCCAGGAAATCGTTAGCTATTTTACTGTTAATGATGTAGTCCACATAACCTCTTGAGGCAAGAATGTGTACAGAACCTTTCACTGCTGTGATGTTATGAGGTGGAGGACTCTTCCTAACGGTTGTTCTTTCTATCCCATCATAGTGGTAATTGATTCGGGACATGTCCCGCCTTAAATTAACAACAATATTGGTTTAAGTAATGTTATTTTATGTCTTTATCTTTTGTCATGTAGTTTTTTATATTCATAGCTGTAATATTATGATAATTTATCATTAAACAAATGTTTCAACATATTTGAAATTTACATCACAAATGGAGCTGACAAAAAGCAAGAAAAAGAAACATTTACGTGCAGCAATTGTACTGAACGAAGCTAAAGAATAAATATAAAGGCAGAGTAAATTTAAAAGAAGAAACTGTGAGTAATTTCTTAAAAATTAAAACTCTTATATAATGTTTCCAAATATCCAAAATATCGTGAGACAAGCATAAATTTTGATTCATTAATATTGATAGGGATCAGGTACCGTTCCCTTTCAAAGAAAACCAGTGAGAAATATCACACTGATCCAATGAATATGTGGGACATTAATTGGCAATCTTTCAAAGCTCACTACATAAGAAATAATATTTACTTTCTAACTGTGGCTTCCAAATTATTTGCACCATTGAATACTTTCAGAATCTTCACCATCTCAGCATTGGTCTTCAGTGGGAACTCCTGCCCTGTGAGGTTGATAATATATTTCCATTTTGTGTACGTCAATAAATCTCTCATACACACGAGGTCTCCCTCCAAAACTGTGTACTCCCCCCAGGCCACGTCTACACGCTTAGACGCCACAAATACATTACTGAAGCAGCTTGCAATCCCCAACAGTGCCCTGTAGAATGTGTACGAGGACTTCATGTCGACATGAATGCAGTAGTAGTTCTGTGGCCTGTATAGCATTCTCAGCAGCCTTTCCACTTGCTCAATGTCTTTATATGTCATGATACTGAAAGCCAGGGGGAAATCCTTCTCTTCTTGTGTTGAGAGAGTAGCCATGCCATTGTAGCCCATTTCTTTTCTAAAAATTTGACAGTTTTCTGTGGCTTTAATATAGAAGTATGGAGTCGCTGCTCTCTTGTGATTGGACATCATGTAGGATTTGATCTGTCCCATCAGTCCTGCATCACGATTGAAGAGCGGCTCGCAATCAATCATGGCAGTCGATGATACTGGAATGCGTAAATCGACCATCTCATGTTTAATCATGGATGTGATCACCCAGTCACAGGTCACGGACACTAGAACATGGCTATCACAGCCATGGTAGGCAAGATAGTAGACCAATACAAAGGAAAATACAGAGAAGATACAGAGGCATGCAAATAAAGCTTGGAGTTTTCTCAAGTTGGTATGACGGGCAGCTTCCAACATCTGTCTGGCTTCAGAAAAAAATTCCGATGGATGTGAAATAAGTCTACAAACTGATAGGATTGAACGTCCCAGATGGTTCCGTACCATGTAACACAAACGCCTCATAGTCAGTGGAAGCTTGGGTTTTCATCATGACTGGAAGATATCACAAGTCTTTCAAAGTACCCATGATTAATATACTCCAAGACCTACATCATGGCTTCCTCTTGTGTGAGCAATGGACACTATAATAATTAGAAAAATCAACATTAGAAAAGTCATAAATCATGACATTAGAAAATTAAAAGGCAGGAATATTGAATATAACTTATATTTTTTGAGTGAAAATTATCAATATTTTTTTAAATGTCAAAAAAAAAAAAATCTATCCAAAATGCTGCAGCCGGCCTACACAGATAAATTTCCAATCTGGGCAGAAATATTACCTATATATTAAACTGATCCAGGCATTGCTCAGTACATTAATTATTTCTCATCGAAAGGCCTAGTTAATTTATTCATTAGCTATATGGAGATCTTGTGTGCATTGATTTTTGTATGTCTTTTATATAAAACACAATTAACTGACTCTGAGGGTAAGTCAATATAAGCTTGAAGACGTACAAAATGAAACAAAATATTCTCTCATGTAAATAAAAAGTATATACTTTCTACATTACTTTCATCTCAGTCTAAACGCTTCTCTCGGCGATGTCTTTCTCACCAGGTAGATATCCAGGTATATTATATATAATTGTAACCTGGTTCTAGCATGAAAAATCATGTTTTGGGAATTCACGTTTTTTACATGTTCTATTAATATATGTGCTTAAAGCTGCCATTAGTGTATACTGGTAGGTACTATAAATTTACCTGTGTGTTAAAATACATACAGTGGTACAGGTATATTAAAATATATACAGCGGTACAGGTATATTGAGATTTCATTGTATTCGTTTAAAAACGCTAAACCGATTTGGATAGCTTTTTATTAGGAATGGTAGGCTTATACTAGTTAGGTATTCTGAAGTCGTTTTATGTAGTTTTCACGGCGACAGCCGAGCTTGCATGTGTACTTTATCTAAGTTGAACTACTCACTGACCACGGGGTGGGTGCACTGACAGGGTCTGTTACAAATTTATTGTATCACATACTTAAATTTTGTATACTATTTTAGCAGCCCCTGCTATCAGACCTATCTGAGGGCAATGCCAATGTTAACTGCGTTCTACAGAAACGAGGTATGTTAAGACAGGTGTGTTAACGCGATCAGATGCTAACTGATGATGCCAACAGCATTGACACTATTTCCAAAATATGCTAAATTCGTATGTAAAATTCATGTCAATCTGATAAACTCACCTGCTTTGCAACTTGAACCGATTCGACACATCCAGTGTTCACATTTGGCACACCTGAGCCTCGATTTCAGTCTACCTGTATTTCCAGCCAAGACACGCCCAATATGTGGTCTATATAAAGCACAGGCTAGATATGCTAGCTTCTGTATTTTTCGTGTTTGCGCGAATTATACCTGAAGAGATCTACGCATGCTCATTATGCTATTCTTAACTAACTATTTCCTTTTTTTCAGAAATATTTAAATTAAAAACAGATTAAACAGATTAACGTTAACGTCAGAAAAATATATTGAACATCATACGGCTGATCGTACATGCTACGTTTGCTTTTTTCCTCTAATAAAGTTTGCATTTAGAACACAAACCCCCTCCCTCCGACCTCTGATGAAAATGAAATTGTTTGGGAAATAAACCTGTGTTATTTTATTCTTGATTTCCCTTTTTTGTGCAAAAATGCGATTTTGACATTGTCAACGATTGAAATAAATGCAATGTCTATGGGACTTAAATTTCCGTGTTTTTATGCATTTCACATAAAGATAGATTAGTGTTTTTATGCATTTCACATAAAGATAGATTAGATAGATCCCACTATTTTCCTATCATATGCGTCATGACATAATATTGACAGTCAGCGCCACCTTCTTTGGCCAAAAAAAAAAAATAAATAAATAAAAAAATAAAAAAAAAAAAAAAAAAAGCGCACCAAAGGTTCAAACTAGGAAGGCGAAATTTCTATATTCACGGCTTTTAATGTTAAAACTTTCCATCCCAAATCTTTCCAAACCTCTGAGGAAACACGCCTAAGTAATCCGACTGCATGGTTTTGCACAATTTGGGACAGCCGTAATTAAATGATAGTTAAAGAATTGGATAGACGGGAATAAATACTTCACGGGGATTTCAACTCCTCAGGTAAAAGAAAAGTTTTTTAAAAAAGTGAATAGCCATGGGTTGTTATCGAGAGTTTGGAAACGTATCTTTCAGTTTGTAATGACAGCTCAGTCTCATATAAAATGCATCACTACCCTCTACCAGGGCGACTCAATTCAATTCAGGGCGACAGATTGATTTTTTCACAAGATATTCACAGATATGTCTTTAGATAAATAGACAGTCATTTTATTCTCTGCCTTTCTCCCTAGTAGAGGGTAATACATCACAGCTGCAGCTATTATTTCGTCTCAAACCACGTGGCCCCGTTACTTATTGAATTCCAGACCTAGTGAGGGGACGCATATTTTTTCATTTTAAGAATTACATAACGAACTCCCAATGTGTATATTTTGGTGGATGAATCATTGGTTGGACACATTTCTGAAGGATATCCACTGTTCAATCCATTTTGTTACCTTGACGCATCTGATTTAACGTGCCCCTTCCCGGTACCCTGTGATGTTTACTTTACACAGCCGTTTAGATCCCCTGCGTATTCGGAGTCTTCGTACAACACAAAAATAAAGATACCATAAATTTGCTCCCTTCTTTCATATGTTTTTTAAAACTTTCAGCGTTTTTCAGAGTTAAAACCATTTTTAAATGCCGTTTTTCCTCTCCCGTTACAAGTACAAAAACTAATGCTTTGTCCAACTACCCGCATAAATGAATCGAATCAAAGTGTTGGGAAGAGTGATTGGTGACCAGGAAAAAATTCCTTTTGTTTTTTGAGGAAAATTCGATTCGTTAAAAAATACCAAACAGGATACCTTAAACGATGTGCGCTAAATTAATAACATAAAACTTGATAGCTATGAATTAAGGGATTATTTTATTCTTTATATGGAAATTGCTGAAGTTTCCAGATAATCTCTTTTTTTATATATACAGCAGGCTGATGCACATTGATAAAAGATTCTACAGCCCATTATATCCCAGATTCAGACCTTCTAGTGCAGTAAAATTTGTACAAAAGTAATATATCCTTTTTATTAAATATATCTTATCACAAATGTAAATATTTATATACTATAATTCCTTTTTTTAAAAATACTGTATTCCTGCTTATACACATATTACTTACATATGAAGTATAGATAATAGATACAATAAGTAGAAATGCATTTAAAATATGGTTGTGTTATCATTCTATAAAGTGGTGAACAATGTCGATGACACCCACTTATTCTGTATTTACATATAATAAGACAAAATCAAGACAGTCTAGTGAAGTATATAGTATTGATGTAAAAGATCACTTTTAAAAAATGTATCTTATCACGAGCGCAAATAATTGAACAAATGCTCCTTTTTGTATTAAGCACAAAGTTCCTGATTTTAATAATGATTTTGAATTTTCCATGTACAGGTAAAGTGTATCTTTTTTTAAATTAAAAAATATGAGTTGAACTCAAATGACAAAATTATATGGTAATAAGTTAATACAATGAACCCTTTGCTTCATTACTTGACAAATGTTAATAATATATATACAGATACATTTTTGTAAGAATAATAATTGTATGAGAAATAACATTCACTAATCATCTAATCAGATTCTCACAGGAGTAGGGACAGGAACTGTCAGTTTTTCTGCCCGACTGCTCTTTTTGTGGCTTTGTTTTGTTAACAATAAAACCATGATTTTAAATTAAGTAGTAAAAAATGTCTTCCAATTTGTTAGTAAAAAATAAAAAAATGTTTGCAACGAAGCACCTTTTCATTATTTCGGTTGTTTTTAGCTTTCGTTTTCAATGAGATGAACTTTCCGTTTTGCAAATAAACATCTTACCAGAGAATTGGCTTTAATCAATAAATGTTAAAAATTAAAATTAATATTCATACATTGCATATATGTAAACACATTGATGTTCAATAATTACAACAATACTTAAGACTTTTTTTAGAAAAATTTGATTTGGCACGAAAATCCTAAAATTAAGGATAATTATAATCCCTCTCTTATAATTACATTTACCCTTGACCAATGCACACAGAGTATAAAACATTATTTTTTTATGTGTGTATACGAAAATCGCCCCTGTTCAGCTTTCTACATATAATATAATAATATATATGCAGGTCCTACAACTTTTTTCATTTGTTTTTCTGTAGTTGGTTTGATACATAAGTGATAAAACAAATTATTGTAAAAGAAACAATTTTGACTATATTAGTAGTCAAAATCTTGACACAAAAGCATTTTTGAACCATTCGAAAATATGTAAATGTAAAAATCCGAATAAATGTTATACATTTACATTATTCTGCCAATTTAAACTAATAAGCAAAAGATTCTGGATAAAATTTGTTTTGTTTTTGTAATACATGTATAAATTCAAGTCTCTGCAAGCATATTGCTCCATACATGTAAATAAAGGATTTCAAAGATAATGCATGACTAACCACAACTGATTTTTTTTTTCAATATGGACGACAACAGTTGTTACTTATCCCATAAGTTAACCGATAACAGTAAAACACAATGAAATTGGTAACATTCACAACAGCCTGCAAACCGGCAGCCACAGAGGCCGCTATAATGGCTGCTTGAGCTGCTGTAGTGCAGCCGATCTCATTCCCACACCTAAATATCCCTGAAATTGCATATCCCAGGCACATCAAAGACATGCCCATGCTGATATTACTCTGAATCTGATGGTTAAAAACCTGAAAAGATAAATTTATCACAGTTACACAGAGACATCTATATATGGTGCTTCAGAAAATATGCTGTGTGCATCCTAACTGCTTTAGTTGTCTTCATACAGAATACATATATAAATACATCACAGAACTGCGATCCCATGTTTTATCTTCTGATGCAGGATTCTATCTCAATTAGAATTTTAATCCACAAATTGATACAGGTAATGCTGGTTTTGACCGTTAATGAAAAGGTTTGGAATTTAACAAATCGTAACCATTATAAATAATGTATACATGTATATCCTACACTGACTGTTACATTCTCAACTTACCCAGCGTTTCATACAAATGTTGGTGATAAGGGGCGTTTGACGGGAAGCATACATTCCAATAAATCCAGCAGAGATAGTCTATGAAATTGAAAAAAAGTTCAAAATTGAATATACTTTCATATTAATACAGATGTACCAGAAGCTTTGGGTCTTCATATTCATGAGGTGATAATACATGTGAAAATTTAAAAAATGAAGAGTCTGGATCTGAAATTCAACCTACATTTATTTAAAAACATCACAGTTGACAAATATTTGACCATTCAATTTCATCCTAGACGTTCGTTTTGCAAGACATAGTTGGCATAACCATTAATGGTGAAATATATTAATTTTCAAAAGCTTGCATACAGGAATACTTCCATTTGCTGTGCAAAATTCTTTACTATATATATCTATACATCGCCCACTATCTTAACACACTTTAAAACTTCTTGACACTACCTAAGGTTGAGCATGTGTTCTTTTATACGTAGAAAACACGAAAAAATGAGATATAATAGCTAGTTGTTTTACAAGTTGCATTTGATAAAATTAAGAGAAATTTTATCAAATTGTGTCTGCAGTATAGTAGAAAAGAGAGGAAAAACTGCTCTGATTTTCACCTTCCTTCCTCATATTTGAATATTACATCACGTTTACTGATAAATTATAAATTAATAAAACGATGAACTTACCATGCCTCCAGTCCAAAAAGGAGCCCAAGAACTAAACGGAAAGATTCTAAGACCTCTTATGTCGGAGAGCGAAAGGAACACATACTCTACACTTGCAACCACAATGTGTATACACCCAGCTAACACTTGGAACATTGCCAGAAAGAACAACCTCTTGAGTGCGACGACCAGGCGCTTGGTGGATTCATCTGAAAAGACAGAATATAGATTCTCGCACACTCGTCAAACTATAGAGGATTTCAATGGGCCTCTTATCATGCACGAAAGTCCACGTTAGTGTATTTTACAGCTTGAAATCTGTTTCATATCTTTGGCCCCCATCCATTTCTCCAACTATAAATACAAATGCTAAAGAATAAACCAAACTCCATGAAGACTGCATGGACAGAAGGGTTTATAAACTTCTCAATTACTTCTGATGGAAAATTTATACAGGTAATGAGATATCTACATCGCCTTTAATATAAACAACTAGATTAAGCAAGAGGGCTAAGTTTTACTCTCTAAGCTGGGTCATGAGGTATGCAAGAGAATGCTGTTCAAACTGGGTCTTAGTAAGTAAGAAGGCCCATCTCCATTGAAAAGAGTCCTAATGTTAAAAAAACATAACGCTAATGACTGGTGTTGAAAACTTAGGTCCCAGGCGCTCAGCCAGCTTGAAATTTTCAATAAAAAATCGGCTATAATATGGTAGGTACCATCAACAATAGTTAGGCCACAACTACAGTTTTACCTAATTATTAGAAAAAATACCTCACCTCCTTCCAAACATACCCAATTTTATATAACACAAAAATATCGATGACCTATTGATTCAGAAATGAATTTTTGCAAAATGCTTAAGGACTTATCGAAGTGCACGGATTCATCCATCTCAAAAGTCAATTCTCATATATACTGTATATATTTAGACCAGAAAATAGAATAAAATGAATATAGGGTACCTTTGTAGAGGGTACCTCTGATCGAATCATATTTTAATGGGCTTGAAGGTTCTTGTTTAAAAACATCTTAAAACAGGGGCGGATCCAGAGATTCTGGAGTTTTCCTAATTATATTTGTTAATTCATCCTCTATTTTTTACGTCTTCCGAGAGGAAAAAATAGATTCCCATCAATGTAAACTTGAAAATTTTTGACCGTTTTCTGGAAGACCAAGAAGTCGGTTTTCGTCCACCACTGTAAAACCCTTGTTACTGTAATTGTTAAACTAATTAATCTGAACAACAATGACATTAATCAAAGATTCAACTTAACAGAACTGAAAAAAATACGTTGAACAGAAATCAAAGAGCGAGAAGGTCGGGAGGCATAGAACATAAGTACCGAACACAGAGCTTCAAAAGATGTGTATGATGTTGTATGTAATTCTAACATTACAGGAAATGGGCCGGTTGAGGACCAAAGGAAAGGTTGTCTTCAGTGTAAGACCTTACACTGACTTCCCCACACTAAAGCAAGCAGGTAGAGGTTCGAGGCAAGTAACCTGTCCCCAACACACCCCATATAGGCATACAATAAATTAATAAATTAATTTCTATATTATCCAGCAAACATAGAACGTTGTTATAACGTTACCATAACGTTTTTTTATTATATAAACGTTATGGTAACGCTATAATAACGTTCTGTAAAGCTGGGTAGCTCCCCTTCTTTGCCCTACTGACCAAACAAAGACCAAAGACTCAACGTAGCAACCATTGTCTTCAAATTGTCTCCGATCAAACATTTCCCTACCTTGTTGTTGTTCATCTATCTGGAAAGTCGAAGAGATAGGCTGGACCTTGGTTTGTGGAGGTTCCATGGAGATATATAATAGTTTCAGATGGGTATAAGATCTACCTGCACTGTAACCTTCAGGTTCTAAAATGCTTACTAATCCCAGTCACCCTGGGTGTAAACGTTGATTGCGAAATCAATGCTTTCTGCGCTCAGCACTTCTTTGTTTGTCTTCTTTACATAACATACAATACATAAATCGTTTTTTCCTTTCATTTACATAAAACCCCGTGACGGTAGAATGGACTAGGATGCTACAAAAGCAAAAAGTTACAAGAATTTCAAGAATATCAACTTAAAAAAAGGCCTTTTAAGGCGAAATATTACAAGAAGGTGTAATCTTCAAAACTTGTTATACAGCGCATTTTATAGAAATTCTCAATGTGCCTTTCAAATTGTCAGAATTGTGACAACAGAATTTAAACAGTTCATGTATATGCTAGGTCCAGGGTTTTACAGTGTATCTGCTTTTATAGACGAGCATATGAAAATCAGCTGTACGCATAACGCTTATTCCGTATGACCAAAGGTAAATTTGCAGGGTTTACTGTTTGTCATATTTATAGCAACGTAGCTGCCATTGTTTACAATTAAGATCAAATAACCGCATCGCACTTGTTAGCAGTTACCTTGGCAACTATGTTGCTTGGCGACTATATTTGCACTCCATCGATTAATACGCCTATATTTGGACGTGGAACCCAACCAAGCGATAATAGCGTGCGACAACAGCACATCGGTGAAGTGGATGACAGACTTTAAGTAAAGTGCCCGTTTAGAACTTGGTCTGTTGAAATGGGTCGTGCAGTCGTCAAGTATAACGGATTAGTCTAATGTTTGACAATTCGATTGTAGCTGCCACTCAAACTGACCGTATAGTCCGCTACTAGTCTGTTACACAATTATTGTATCGGACCCTGTGGGAGTTTGTGGTCAAGAGGAACGCGTTCCTCGCCAGACGCACCCTTTATATTTGTCAATGGGGGCGATTTCACACATAGGTGTTGTGATGGGAACTTCACCATTTACTTCACGTATTATAAGTCCAGCATGGCCTCACACATTGATTGCACACAACCACACAACTATCCTCCTCTGCTCCTGAGCCACCGTTTTTCGGGGAGGGGGAGGGGGGTATGAGCGGGGTAGGAGTTACATTAGGGCAGACACCTGCATTGGATGTGAGCCCACAGTAGCAATAGTTTGAAGGTTCAACAGTCCGACGATTCATTGGTCCGAATGTTCACTATGAAACTTTCGGCTATCGAGACGCTCCCGATCCCACAGGGACCCATACTTAGATTTTATATACTATTTTAGAGGCAATTTTGATATCAGAGGGTACCTCTGGATTACTGTTGGGGTTCAGAAATGACAGAAATCTGATGTTTTTCTGATTCATTTTACATATGTGATTAGAAGTATGCACCTACGTGTATATGACAGAGGAATCACAGGAGAACGCATTTATTTTAGACAAAGTTATCTTCTGTTTATGTATTAGTTGTGGTGGTAGTAAAAAGTGTGCTCCTCATCTCTCTATCAACGTTAACTTCATTATATTTTCATCTTTGGAGTGAAATAACTCTACTGTTGATATTTTGGCGGGGCCATGATTAAATAAGCTTGTAGTAGGCCTAATTCTGAGAAAAAAAGGACGTAATCAATGAAATCAAAAGTTTTACAGTGAACAACATAATTTTAATAATAGTTTATTTCTACATGAACATTATGTATATATAACAGTATAATAAAATATGTACATATTAAAAATCCTTTCTATAATATATATATCTTATCATAAATATGCTTATTCATCAAAACTGTTCCTCTTTACTTATTGTGCTCCTATTTATTTTGATATCATTTCAGTTGAAGACCAATGTACAGTGTCATAAAAAATACATCAAAGTTAAAACATGAAAAGCTCAAATAATTCTTTCGCTACTCGTAAAAAACATGGTAAAGATATAATCGGTCGTTAGTTATGTAAGACGAAAGATATGTTTACAAGCAGTCAATGTGCGATAATCCTGGTACAGTAAAAATAGTTTTCCTGAAAATTCCAACAATTTCCTATTTATCTCCACGGTTCACCCTGTCCAAAACTCCTGAGTTATCACAATATATAAAATCGTTTCGATTCCTAATTTCTATTTATAGCGTTACTAGAGAAATTTACCCCTTTCTATCACCATAACGACAGTGATAAAAATCTAGAAACAAATATGCCTTAAATGAGAGAAATATGCCTTTGTTCAAAGACGCCACTTGATGATGATAAAAGTTTACTATGCAAACGTATAAATTAACCAATAGGCCTACAAACGAGAATGAATAAAAACTTGTGAACACCTTTGTAAACATTTATATATATCTAACAAGATATTCCTCTTAAATAACCCTGTAGTATAATTTATGTATTATTGTCAGAATTTATATAAATGGAGAAATACATATTCACTCATATATGATACATGTACAATGTACATGTTTGTGTTCTGGTATTTTTAGATCTACGTGTTTTTTTCGGTTTCTAAACTCAGACAACTTTGGTAAAAGGGAGAGGTTGTCACATCATGGACTGAAAATGAATCATCGGATACCTCCAATGCATTTACCCTGAAATCTCTGGATTTGGGGTACTTAACACGATATATCATTTTTGATGCAATTTTTTTTTTACCCAATTGTCTTTTCCTATGCCATGTAATAGTACACGCGACTACTGGCAATGGCAACTATTGGCGACTATTGTCATTGCCGATTATTGGCGACCATTGGCATTGACCACATCAGTTTTCATAGGGTTTGCACCAGCTTTTGCTCATTCCGTAGGTTTGTCGATTGAAGAAGTAGGCACCGTAACTGGTGGAATTCACGATCGCTTGAAAAGTGGCCATCACAAGGGTCATTGCAATGGCCACAGTGGTTGCCGTGTTGCAGGTTAATCCATTGCCGCATTTCGTCATCCCAACGATTGCCCAAATCAAAGCCATCACTGACATAGAATTGCAGATACTACTCTGGATATTATGGTTAAACACCTGAAGAAAAAAAAGAAAAAAGTTGCACAACCACTTATTGGCCTTTGTTTTCGGACTATCGTGTCCTGTACTGGCCCCGGTTTCACAAAAATATCTTAAGTCAGGTTCCCGGACTAAGAATTTAATTACCAAGGTTACAAGGTCACATGGCACATCTCACCCTATCAGGAGTAGTGTAACAGCACTCTCATGGGGATCGTAGTCAACTTAGCCAGGGAACTGACTTCAGATTTTTTTTTAACTGGGGCCTGCTCACCCTGGATAAATAACTCATTTAACAGCTACATAATACTACTTGTAAGTGACCTCTAGTGGTCAGGAAAAGCATAGTTTTACAAACAAGTTTTATAAACAGCAGAAATTAAAATGGTTCCGTTCGGCAAGGTCAACCGTCACCATGAAAAGAAAAATGTAATAATTTTTAATGTCAGTCCATGCGCCAATGTGAAGCCATCACTACGGTGATATGAATCGACCAGAATATGGATCATCATTTTTATTATTTTTCAAAAGCTTACAGAGGGCAATGGGGAACGCCGTGTCTATAGGTGTCCCATTCTTTTCTACAGTGTGCGCATGTTTTAATATTTTTGTATTTCAGGTCTAAAAACTTTTCACTTTAAATTGCTATTATATCACACTTTTCAAGTCGATAAACAGTTGTCTTTCCAACCAATAAATGTTAAAAATCCACACATAGTTTCTGAGATTACTGGCAATGCAACTCTACTATCAAACTTGTCTTTGCCGTTTCCAGTAATCTGAAGCCCAGGGGTGTTAAAACTTACCCAGCGTTTCATGCAAACATTTGTTATGAGAGGCGTTTGTCGAGACGCGTAAATTCCAATGAAACCAGCACTTATACTCTGAAACATTAAAAAAAACACATTAAATATTGTATTCAAAGTCGAGTAGATAGATAGATAGATAGATAGATAGATATTAAACGTTTTAAAGACATAAAATGCACCTTTCGACAATTTCCCTTAAATCACTAAGGCCTGTTCTATTCAAAACTGGTGAAAAAAATGCGATTTTTCCATCTGTTTCTAAATTTCTATCTTTACTGTTGGTGATTAAAAGAGGAACGGATTCAGAAAAGTTAGATGTTTACAGGATGAAAACTTTATGGTTTTTCTGGCATTACTGATCCTACACAGCATTAACTACTGCTAAAAATTACACTACATTTTCAATAAACCTGCGTGTTTTAAATATCAATTTTTCATTTTTAAATAAAATTTTCGATTTCCGATAGTGTTAAACGAAATTTGGAAAGATGATAACATTTGTAGCTGATTCCATGGAATTAGATATTACAGGCCCGTAGCCTGCAATTTCAAAAGGGGGGTTCTTTTTCTGAAAAAGTGGACCTTTTCCCAACAAAAGGGGCGGTTCTTTCGAACCCCCCGAACCCCCCCTAGCTACGGGCCTTCATAAGATGCGTCTTTGGTTTACCTAAATGTAATTATTTGATAGTGAATTGGCAGTGTATGTACATGTACCAAGATGAAGGGAAACGAATGACTTTTCCATTTAAGATAGTGGATATAGGTCCTGTTGGGACAACATATAATTACGGTACAGTACATTAAATCATATTAAATAAAATAAGCAATTTCCTTACCATAACCCCAGCCCAAAAAGGAATCCAAGAGCTAAATGGAAACAAGCTCAAGCCTCTAATGTCGGTAGACGAAATAAACACATACATTACACTTCCCGCCAGAATGTGCGCAAACCCAGCCAGCACTTGGAGCATGGCCAGAAAAAACAGCGTCTTGAGGGCCTTAGCGATACGCCTCGTAGACTCATCTGAAACGACAAAAAAGTTATGTACCCTTACATACTACAAAATACTATAAGAAAACTATAAGGAAACAACTTTGATTTCAGAGATTTCTGGAGACTCATCCCCACGATAAGATTACACTTCGTTTCCAGTAACGGCAAATGGATCTTGAGTGTGGCGGGTCTGAAACACAGGGTACTTTTCCTACATGAAAAATCCATGTTTTTTCTAGTATCTGATTATTTATATACAGTGCTTACATTTAGGTTTCTCCTCCTCCCACTAATATCCACATAACATAAACTTGTAATCATTGTTTCAAAATCTTAAACCGTTCAAGGAATATCGAGAATGGATTACAAAATGTTAATTTATCATGCTTGTGTTAAAGATTAATTAGCCCGTTGTTCACTTATTCTGGGTGCAAACATATTTTGGATTATACTTGGAAACTGTTTATTTTATGAACTGAGAAAGCTTGGGTAAGTATAAAAAGCGAATACCAAAGCTGCACGCGAAAGAGTCTCCCCATTGAAAATTATTTAAGCCTATACGAGGTTGTCGGCACTTGGTGATGTCATACGAGCCCAGCAATCCGCTTAAAGGTACATATGAACCGAGCATCGGTGGAGCATGGATTCCCAGTAACACATGTAAACCACTTCTACTAGATTCTTATATGACTCAAATAAATTCGACATGCCAAGGGATAAACTGAATAGATCACTCGATCAGCCATAAAAGACCTTTAGACTGCTCCTTTCTTTAGATTTTTGGTTGTAAATTTAACCTACTTTCGTGACCTACTTTCCTGCCCCATTGACATACAGCTTAGAATGCCAGCAGAAAAATCCGTTCAAACATCATTTTCGGGTAAAATTTAACAATGCATTTGGTAATTCTCTTAGTTATACTACTTGAAACTATATGCTGGCATATGGTTGGTTTTGGTGACAAAAAATTGACTTTGTACGCATCTTTAAGGTGCACCTAAATTTGCAGCGATCGTGGTGAAACTCTATCAGCCTGGAATGTACTCTTGCAAAGCAATAAAAAAGAACGCACATAACGCAAATTCACAATACAAATCTTCCAGTCATACAGAGTATTATTCAGTCAACCACCTACTGTAATTATGTAATAGGTTGTCGCATTCAAATCATTTTTACTTTTTATAGTGCAATACTCAGTCTTTCTATCCTTTACCAAAGGAGCTTATTAAATTCCTAATAACAAACGGACTCGCTTGGTCATAATCTAGGACTGTGTACGGTGTCCTAGTTACAATCTCTCTGTCACATGTAAATCGATGAAGAATGGTATAAAACAAGGGTTATAGGAAGTCAGAATATAGACAAATCTATCTATGTGTTTATATAGAATACAGAATATAGACCTTTTATAATAATGGTGGAAGATAATAAAGCACGATCAAGCACATGTACACATAAAAGTACGTAGACCTACATGACCTCCACCTGTAGAAATGACCATCGTTAAGGCTACTGCAAGCAAGCCTCACCTGTCACCACCCAACATTAACATACAGTGTTAAACTTCTACTACCTGGGTTGCTTTCAATGGCCTGCAACTGTTGAGTTGATTTGCTTTGATCCATGGCAGAACCTGTACACCGTAGACCGTATTTCTCGTCAGGTATGCCGTGAGACTGGGGCTTATAATACCAAACAGTCCTTCCGCTATAGTGCCTATATATCCACCCTGACTACCTGCCGTTTCTCAATGACGCGAGGCGCAATGGCCTTTTGTGTATTGACTCGGAAGGAGTTGCGAAATCCCAGTTTTGTATTTGTTGTCGGATTTGTAGGGACAATAAGTGATCTGATATTTGCTCAATCGCTAGGTAGCATTGTGGCGTGTGAAAGTTTAGTAAGGTGATTGTATTAAAGCCAGGGCAGGGCGAGTGAGTGAATATTCAGGTGGATTACAAATTTAGGATGGAAAAATGTATGTTCCTAGCATTGTAATAGACAAAGAGACTGAGAACCGCATGCAAGTGCGCAGAAGATCACCAATTGTACTCTACGAAATCACAAATGTTACTAAAACAGTTCATTTCGGCATTGCGTTTTTGAGCTTTGGTTTCTTAATTGTTCGTCAAGGGTACGTAAAAAATATAAATTTTATGCGCCAAAAGCAATACCACAAAGTAACAATGAGTGTTATGCCATTGAATATTCATGGTCAGTTGATGAGTCAAAACTTCGAAACCATTTTTAAACTATCTACTGGTACATGCATAGTTTAGATGAGAGTAAGGGCGCATTCCCATAGATTTTAGATCTATCTATCCCCGTGGAGATTACTATCACTAGATTACTGTCAGATAATCCGGCTTAAATGTCCGTCCTGCCTACTACAAGCTGTAAGAGGGTAATTAACTTTCGTGCCCGCTCGGCTGACAGCTATTTAGCGTGAACCCCCAGGGAGTTAGGTCGATCTAGTTGGATCGATCTAATCTCTGGGAATGGGGTCTAAGATATTACTAAGTGTGTTGAATAAACAGATTATCCGACGGATAGATGGGTCGTCATAAGTAAGTTTGACCTCTCTCCGATGTCAACGACTACATGTTCTCAGATGCAAAACAAAAAGTCAATATATTATCAATACATGTTAATCTTCTCACCACAAGCTGACCTTCGTACATGGCCCTTGTTAGCCAACTTGTATAATTTATATCAACAGTCAATCCTACAAACCTGAGGGACTAAAAGCATTTAAGGGTTTGTATTAATGGATTAACATAAGGGAAGCGTCTACAGTATGTTCCACTCTAAAATACCTGAAATGAGCGAATAAACATTCCTAGATACGATATCTTCTTCATGTGGTCTTGCCCCATATGCCCCCGCCCCCCAGGTTAAGGGGACTCGTTTTGAAGCTCTGCAGGGTATCAAAACGCCATAATATTTGGACAGGATTATGGGCGTCGCCATCGCCATAAGTTCAGAAAGATACGTTGACTTGAGACACACCCTTGGTTTTCGACAAAAATTATTTGTGTGGGAATCTATCATAAACTTGTTTTGATGTTTGCTCACTGACCCTGCATAGGCTACATAGTAAAATGAATATTTTAAACAGGATATATCCCGATGCGTTCGAAAAAACTTTATAAACGTTTTATATGTATATAAGTTAAATATTTGAATGTTAAATTTTGCTCGCTTATTACAAACTCTTTGTTTGTGAACATAATTTCCACTTTGAATGCAATATTTAATGCGTTTTTTAATTTTCCAGACAATAAGTGCTGGTTTCATTGGAATTTACGCTTTGATGCATATATATAGAGAGAGAGCAATAACTTTCGAAATTAGTTGAGGTCTCACATAATTAGCAAATACTCCCCTCTGCAGACGGAAGGCTACCTCTTATCGTTGTCCACTAAAACGGCCTCGCATATCTTGGCATCTTTTATTGCTTCGGTGGTTGGAATTTGTAACGACCTTGCAGGATCCTTACCCTGAGCCTCAGATCTGATGCTTTCCAGCTTTTTGAGTTAGTTGAATTTACGTGTATACGCAGAGAAAAATATAAAAGCCCCATGTGAATTATTTATGTAACTTATAATCGGCTACGGACAGTAATCTGTAGCTACGGACAGTATGGACAGTAATCCCGATCTGTTGAATAACAAGATCCACCTTGTACGATCTGATATAGGCCTATATATACATGTATAACCCATAATGCTGATAAAACTTTTAAGGTATTGCGTGGGGCATTTCTAATTTTGCTCAGTGCTTATACACAATTATCAGGCACGTATGGCAAAATGAAGCTGGTCCACATCTGATCTAAAGGATATAGAACTTGGGCTACGGCTCAGCGTCCTATTAGTGAAGTTTTCAGACATAGTTGTCATTAATGGGCCTACCTGCGTCTCTGTTGTCACCATGCTCCATCTGAAGCTGAACTTGGCTTGATTTTGATCCCATCTCCATGGCCATGATGTCGCCGTGCAAAATAAGACACTTCGCCTAACTATCAGCCGGTCAACTTTTATATTAATTCTCCGCTTCTTTCCCCGTGCTCTGTGTTTTGAAATGCCTCACCTGCCTCGCTTCAGCCGTGGTCATTTATAGGGACCTTGCATGTTTGACCATGTCAAACAAACACACGTGACTCAAAAGTACTGCTAATTTTCATTGTGTGTGTGTGTGTGTTTGGATGTAGGTAAGAAAAATTTTCTTCGTCATGTTAAATATCTCATTTAGTGTCACTTCAAAATATTAATATGATGTTGGACAAGTTTTGTATCTTTGCGTCTGTGCAACTAGATTAGGCAAAAGGCAGTTTTGCAATATCATAAACCTTTGTTTTGTTTGCGTATTGCGTAATTTGCAGTTAGTCGGTTCCCACACATGCTATTTGTCCAGTATCTTGTCAACGACTCCCACTCATGGTTTATGTTGCAACGTAAAATTAAGCAGCCGATGAAAAAGTATAACTGTTAACAAGCTAATTTTATTTATTTTTCTTTTTGATAGAGCTACCTGTCCATCTACTTGCATTGAAAAAGAAAGGTGATAAAACCCCATACGCAATCTCCCCCTTCACACTACCAACCTCAGGATGACCATAGGTCCAGCTACCTCCTTATATCACAAGGGCCTCTGAATAGTATACAAAATTTTAAACAATGATTTTGTAGCAGACTACTAGCGGACCCTGTGGTCAGTGTAAAGTCCATCAAAGTTAACATAAAAAAAATGAGAAAATGGATCAAAAAGGGAAAAAATTCCCCCCGTTTCAGGCCTTTATCCCCATGATTACTGTATGTCCAGCACAGTAACCAATATTATTTGGCAGAAACGTGCGCCTACCTTGTTCTTCCATCTCGTGGAAGATAGGCTTCACCTTGTTTTGGTAAGGCTCCATGGTGTATCCGAGAGTTTCAGTTGTGAGTGATATGTGCCTGTACGCGAGCTTTATAATTGCGTTCCAAATCTAGACGGTGTCAAACTGCCTGTCGATCTGATTTGTTAATTCTTAGCGATTGCGAAATCAATCGTGTTTAAAGGCGTCTATTTCTGAATCTGATTCAATAATTGCAGCTAAGTTTTCATATGTTGTACCTGACGTGCATAATGTACGTTTGATTATTTTTATATGTACTTTTGTTTGGCTTGCATAGACTTCGTACAAAGGTGTTGTTGGTTCAAATACTTCGTTAATACAAAACACAATAAACAAAATAATAGTTGACTAACTTTCTTTTGAATGAACTCATGAAACCCACTTCTTTTCCTTTCTTTTTTTAATGTAGAAATATCTGGGTTGTTATAATTACTATTATTCTTGATGTGGTTTTATTATTATTATTATTATTATTATTATTATTATTATTATTATTATTATATTTAAACTTCTTTTGTTTTTGTCTACTTCTTGCTCTCTTCTTCGTGAAAAGCATCAAGTCATCAACAAAAAATTTTTTATGAATAAGGGGTGAATATCGGCGCTTAATACTCCATGCTTTCAATTATTTTCCATTTATTTACCAATGTCAGTTCTGCCTTAATCTTTCAGTCATTGCTCCGTTGCAATCTCCTTCTATTTGATTGTATAAAACCATATTGAATGTCTTTCAGCATTTACCCATTTCAAGTTACGGAATGAGCGTTAGAACCTTATATAGCAAAAAATTCCATATTTCTTAAAATTTCATTTCGTTTCTCAAAATCACCAAGGTTAATTACTTAAAATCCAGTGTGGTTTGCAAAACTAATTAAATAGTGTTCTTAGTTTCTAATATTTGAGTCGCTATTTTAATGAGGCTGGGGGATCTGTATTTCACTTCAAACGACAAAAATTGAAAATCAAGAGCTCGAAAAGGGTTAATACATCGTAATTCGTTTTCAGTGGCATTGGATAAGATATATATCTTGCAAAGGTAAATTGTTGTAAGGAACAAGGCAAATAATGATGTATGAAATCTGAATGAAACAAAAAGTCAAACGGGTCAGATGTTCGTTTATATAAAAAAAATGACATTTAAATAAAAAAATACATAGCAAAACTTGCAAAAAGACGGGCACGTACATTTAGTTATTAGTAGGCGAAGCGGGGAGATTCAAGCTATATAGCTTTGTATATATACAGACTATGTAAAATAATTAATCGTGCGTGGGTTAGTTTTTCAAATTTTTACAGCAATTTTTTACTCTGACCGTGAAGGAAAACGTTCCAGTAATAATTTCTTGTTTGTTCATTGAAGCGATCAATTTTCGTTTAATTGATATTTTTTTTTCTATTATGCACTCGTGTGTATATGTAGCTAAACTATGTAAGCAGAGTGACGTTTATAACAAAATGCTAAAATCCTGGACCTTTACTGTAGCACACTATAAAACAATGCATTGTTCCTATCGTTTTGTTTTGTTCCTATCGTGTTTAAACGACGGTAACGAATTGTCTACAGCATAAATACATTTCAGTTTTTCCTCGTTAGTAGTTTTCACTCTTCCCTTTAACATCCTCTTAAAAAGAGTGTCGCCTTCTTTGAACACTCGAGACTAAAGGATTGATATCTCGTTCTTGGACGTGTTTCCACTTTTTATGCCAAATAATGTCCATCAACTTTTGGTGTTTGAAGACGTACAGGTGACTGTGGAACGCCAGGCCGATGGCAAAAAGCGCCCCGCACAAACTTTCCCACTCCTCGTCCCCAGGGTTATGAATGGTCTCTGCGCCCACCAAGTGCAGGAGAACCATCGGTAGCGCAGTGAATATGTAGCACATAGTCAGCATAACAGAGTTCTTAACTGCCGTTTTAAGATATTTGATTGACTTCATGGCAATCACGTTTTGAATTTCTGTATGCTTCAATTTCCTGGGGAACGCTGGGAGATGCACTGAATAGATTGATGAAGCGAGATCGCTTGCACTCCACAGGGCTGGAACGCTGACTGCCTGCTTAATAGACTCATCGCGCACAGCTGCAGCAGGTGTGCTTGATTGGGAAAAACTGGACAATTCATACTGTGAATGTTTTCCAATCTTCTGAAGAAATCTTGGAAGTTGGATAATGGCTCTGAATCGCCTACCCGGTACCGTTTGATCTGAACTCTTAATATCACCACCAATCTTCGCCCACGTGGTCTTCTGAGCTCTGGACGGATCGCTTCCTTTTGGCGTTGTTTCCGTTTCGTCGGCGATGCTATAACATACGGGACTCGCCATGGCAGAGGATGTGATTGTATCGCGCTTATAAGATAGCGCATATCTTTCTGGATGAACAACGTGAAAAATATCCAAAAGACCCACGTCATGGCTTTCAACCTGGTGCAAATTTCTCTTTAAAACCACGCATATGCGAATGTACACCGTGCTCACAATAAAGAAGGTTGTAATGAAAAATCCTAAATAGAAATGTTGCAGGAACCCCCGACCTGTAGTTATCAATATCACGACGTAAAATAAAGGACTTCCCACCCACGCGAGAAGGCCGGTGACCAAGCTGCAGTGTGTTTGTGGGTTTTTTCTAGCTTGTGTCGCCGAATAGTGCATGAGACGTCCTCTAAATATAGCTATCGCACAAATAGTGATGGACAAGTTAGTGAATCCTACAAAGAAGGCTGCGTCTTCTATGTGCTCCCATGTGCCAAACATGTGAATATCCATTTTGAATTTCCTGCTGAAAATTTCGACTAAAACTACAGTAGACAAAGCAAGAGAACCAAGGCATGTTAGTGCTAGCATGTTGACGTAGATTCCATAACCTTCGATCAAAATCGGTTTCAGTGTCAAGACCATTTTGCAAAAGTGATAAAAGTTTTTGGGAAACACGTACAATATTGACACCCCAACTAGGACACAGGTCATCGTGTCAACGCCCTCTAAGGTGGTGTCCGTCTTTTGAGCTTCGTGGTTACTCGCACGCGTAAACATTATACGTGTATTTTGGCTCTTCCGGGCGGTGTTAAGAACTGTTGCTGAAAATAAAATTTAAAAATATTCGA